AGGCATATATTGATATGCAAGGTCACTCGACCCTTCTCTCATTCAAATATTTTGTAGCACCTTGTTTGATGTGACTAAGTGAAGACAATTTCTCTGGAACATAGATTGAAGTCAGAGACTTTCTTCAATGGCAAGAAGTCACGTGGAACGGTTGTCCCTCACTCTTCTTCTGGTCTTGTCTCTTCTTGCACTATGATTTTTATGGTCCTGGTTCTAACCCGGAGAGTGGTGGGGGTCTTCAGGTTTTTTCCCAATTCTTGGGCTAATTAACTAAATTCCTAAAAATTCTTTTGTTTAGAATTTTTCTGCAACATCTTTAATTTTTCCCAATTTGGAAGTTAACTCGTTCCACAGGTAGAGGGCACAGGCTTTGCTCCTCCCACTGCCTTAAAATCATGTCTCCCACCAGCATTTCTGATTGACGGAGAAGACTCTCTCTTCTGTTTACCTGAAACTACTCCTCTGAGCCTTCCTTCAGCTAATACTTCCTCAGAGCCATATACTTCTACCCTTCCATAGGTGGAGACAACTTCATCTCTCATTTCTCTCACCTCTTTAGTGTTTCACTTGTTATGGTTCCTGGTTGAGGAGAATTAACTTGCTCTTCTCTTTCCACTCCCATCTTTGGGACAGTCAGCCTGGCATCTGGTCTTTATTCATGACATTGTTTTTGTATTTCAATTTCCCTGGATTTGTTTTATCTGTCATGACAAATCCATTGTTCTTTTATCTACCTTTGGATTGCATTTCCTTGGTACCTGGAATATACTTTTTCAAAATTAGACCACGTTTGAAATTTACCATATGACCTTTCATTCTTTGTTGCTGAGAAAATATATTTTTTTTTTTTTTTTTTAATCAAAACAATTTCGCCTATAACCGATTTCTCTCATGTCCTGTGGATAATTTCCTATCCCAGATTTGCTATTTGAACAATAATATCTCTTGATGATTCAGCTTTGCCAAATTTATTCTTTTCTGTTGACAAGTAATAAAAAAAAACATAATTTTTCTTTTTTCCTTGTGGGAAAAGAAATCAGATGTTCCAGCCTCTCTTTTCTCCAAATTTACAAAATCTGGTCATGTATTTTCAGTATGGCTATTGATCTATCTCTTCAACCTCTAAATGTGTCACACTACATTTGACCCCAAACTTACAATTTTACTTAGTATTCATCATCATCATCATCATCATCCTTTGACCTCTCTACGATTAGGCAGGAACTTCATTGACAATCCCTTTCCACACTGTTCGGTTCTGCATTGCTATCCCCAATGTCCAAGCCTGAATCCCAAGCTACGGTGTCTAGAAAAGTCAGCTTTTGTGAGAAGAAACTTCTGGAAGGATGCCATAGGAATAAGGATGAGATGATTTCCCTGTTCACTCAGTGGCAGTGACTGGCAAACTATAATTGATTTTCTTTGAGTTTAAGAGATATTGGTCTCAGGTCTCTGTAAACTGTGTTAAGCGTTGCATGGGATTTCCAACTGATGTTCTGAATTTTTCCAAGTAGATTTGTATTTGTTCCATCCAGTCGTCTTTCAAGACAAACAAATAATGTCCAAGTTTCTCATCCATAGAGTTGGACGGATTCGATCCATGTTCAGAAGGTTTGAACTATTAAAGAGGATGGAAGGCTTGTGAAGTTTGTTACATGCATTCTATAAAAGAGCTTTGCAAATGTTGAAGTCTACAAATCTATTATGTGAGATCCAAGATATTTAAAGTCCTCTGCTCTTTTGATGGATGTATTATTGAGTGACTTCAACTCGGAAGATTCAGGGGAGGTTGTGATATATTCTGTCTTATTCACATTGCAATAGAGACCTACCTGGTTCACTCCTTACTCGAGTGATTGCAGCAAGGATTCTGCATCATTGATATATTGCAAAATTAATGCAAGATCATCGGCAAAGTCAAAGTCAGTCAGGTATTGTGGGGGTACTGACTACTCTGGCGAGGTATCAAAAGGAGTTCTTTTTCCTCCATGTTGTCAAGAGAAATATGTAGAACATAGTCCAGAACAACTATAAACAGAAAAGCAGCAAGTTTGTTGCCTTGTAGAACTCCTGCTTTATTTTCAAAGGAATCAGTCTCGCCATTAGGTGATAGAATGGTGGCAATGGTGTTTCTGTCCAGAGTTCTAAATACCTCAATAATTCTGAAGGGTATACCATAGAGTTGTAGGATTTTGAACATGATATCTCCGCTGATGGAATCAAATGCCTTGCAAAAGTCAAAGAGACATTACTGTCTCTTGTGTTTCCAACAGCACATAACAACCAGATAATAAATAATACTTGTTTTGTTGTTTCCACATCTTGCTGTTTCTCATTTTTACGAGTATTTTTAGATATTAATTCAATTTTCTGTAGATTAGCCCCAGTCCTGCCTCAACAAAAAACACAGCTATGTATGTTATGTATATATGTTATGTATGTGTTATGTATGTATGTTATGTATATATGTTATGTATATATGTATGTTATGCATGTGTTATGTATATATGTTATGTATGGGTTATGTATGTATGTATGTTATGTATATATATTATGTATGTGTTATGTATGCATGTTATGTGTTATGTATGTATGTTATGTATGTGTTTTGTATGTATGTTATGCATGTGTTATGTATGTATGCATGTTATGTATGTGTTATGTATTCATGTTATGTATGTTATATATGTAAGGTAATGTATGAGACCCAGGTTCAAATCTCAACAGGGTTGATTTGTCAGGAAGGAGACTTCCTGATGTTATTGGTCTGGAGGGGGATGTCCCCAGCATGTGGCACCTTTGGAAAGTATCTGAAAACCATACCACAGGTTGACACAAGCCTTATGAGTAAAATTTTGGGTAGATGGAAAACTTGGGGGATGGTCAATAGCTGTGTCAGCATGATGTCACAAATCATCATGACCGAAGGTTTGAGTGTGCTGGCCTTGTTCACATTGTTGATTACGCTAAATAACAATGCTCTCTCCCAGAAACTGTAACTAAGGTCTGCTTAGCATAGTTGCAGTATAAACCACAGGTAGGCTCTGTGGGTGTTGAGCAAACATAAATGTACCTGAGCGAGCATCTGCAATAAGGATTTGCTAGCCGCCTGAGTAGACAGGTATCCTTGAATATGAGTGGTTAGCTATTGTATATATATAGTAAAGGTAATAAATCCATTGGTATATAATCCAAGTGGATCCTAGTAATATAAAATATTAAAACTGATTCACAAAAAGAGCTCAATGTATTTATTATTACAGAGCAGAAATTAATACATAATAAAATGCAAAATCACCTCATATGTAGACGGGTATCCTCAAGTGGCCAGCTATTAATGTATGTATGTATGTTATGTATGAATGTTATGCAATGTCTTTATGTAATGTATGTATGTATGTTATGTAATATATGTTAGTAATGTATGTATGTTATATATAATGTATGTATGTATGTAATGTATGTATGTTATGTAATGCATGTTATGAATGTAATGTATGTACATAAGGTATGTGCATAATTTATGTATGTTATGTAATGTAATGTATATATGTTATGTAATGTAATGTCTGTTATATGCATAATGTATGTTATGTAATGTGTTTTATGTAATGTAATGTGTGTTATGTAGGTAATGTTTGTAATGCATGTGCATAATGTATGTTATGTAATGTAATGTGTTTTATGTAATGTAATGTGTGTTATGTATGTAATGTTTGTATGTATGTTATGTATGTAATGTATGTTATGTAATGCAATATGTATGTATGTTATGAATGTAATGTGTGTTCTGTATGTAATGAATATATGTATGTAATGTATCTTATGTAATGTATTTTATTTAATGTAATGTGTGTTATATATGTAATCTAATGTCTGTATGTATGTTATGTAATGTATTTTATGTAATGTAATGTGTGTTATATATGTAATGTAATGTTTGTATGTATATTATGTAATGTATTTTATGTTATATATGTAATGTAGTGTGTGTTATGCATGTTATGTAACTCCAGAAAAAATGTTGCTAACTTCATGCTACTCTATGGCAAATGTTCAGACAAGTGACATTCCTTAGTTCCACAAGTTCAGACGTTTACAGCTTGGAGCTACCATGTCATTTACATGCTGTCAACTCATCCTCATTCTTTCATATTCCATTGGTAAGGAGGCAGTTCCACTCAGTTTCTTTCCAGAATTGTCACTTTGTGGAACTGGCCCCTGAGAGGATGCTTTCCTGGCTACTACAATCCTAACCACTTCAATTCTAGGGTCAAGTGTTACCTATCCTACATATCTACATAATGTGCATTGCTTCCTTCTGTCTTTATGCCCTGACAACAACCTCATTCAGTAACCCTTTACCTTACGTGGCTCTTAGGCCTTGTTGGGTGAACATTAGTATAAAAAATGTCATGGCAATTCATAGATAATAAATAAAAGGAGAGTGTAAAGTCATGATTGCTTACATCCTGAAGTGAAATGGCATAAAAACACTTTGTGGAAAAGAAGGAAGAAAAGAATGGGAGAGAGTTAAGAAGAAAAAGGAGAGGGGAAAGGAAGAGAAGAAAAAGAGAGGGGTAAGTAGAAGAAGGAGAGGGGGAAGGGGAAGAAAAGAGAAGGGGAGAAAGAAAAAGACAGGGGAGGGAGTAGAAAGAAAAAGGAAAGCAGAGGGGAAGAAGAAAAAGGAGAGGGGTGGGTGGAAAAGGAAAAGGAGATGGGAGGGAGGAGAAGAAAAAAAAGAGAGAGCAAGGGAGGAGAAAAAAAGAAAGGTCGAGGGGAGGGAAAAGGAAAAGTAGAAGGAGAAGTTTGAAATGAATCTTGTCATGCTTGCCATGTGGTTGCATCATTACCTTTGCTTGGGAGAGTTTGTTTAGAGTTGCCTCCCTTGAATTATTTTTCCTCCCAACGTGTCGGTCGAATTGACTTTAGAAACATAACAAAACAAAAAGACTGATTTAAAACAAACAGTCAGGTCATTAATATTTTTGCTTTTGACAATGTTTCCTAAACTCTACACCGACGTCGGGAATCCACAGACTTTGAAATTGGTTATTGCAGCGCGACTATCGAACAAAGATTTGCAAATAATCTTCACCGACGACGAAGGTAAGAGGAAAAAAATGTCAATTCTAAGGGATTTTTTTGCCACAAAAAACAAATTTAAAAAAATATATTTATATTAAAAAAAGGTGTCATTTAAAAAATTAAAACTAAAAATGAAAGAAAAACGATTTCTGAAAAAACTGAAATAATAATTTGTACAAAAAATGAAATATGTAACAATTTTTAAAATTATTTAAGATTTTTTTTTATTTTGTTAAATTTTCTAATATCTAAAATAAAAAACAAATGTTTTTAGTTTACGACTTTAATTAAATAAACATTATTGTAAACAAAGTTTATAAATTTCTTTTATATTAAAGATGCGGTTAAAACAAAAAAATGAATAATTTTCGATAAAAATATATTTTTTTTCAATATGATTTTTTTCTTTTTCTATGAAAATGTTTTAATTTTTTTCGAATCTTTCTTCACTTTTTTTAACAAATCGAAAGTTCAAAAGTGGAAGCGATCGAAGTGGGTTTTAAAGTGGGGGTTCAATTTACAATGGACGTGTAATGTCAAACTGGACCCTGATTTTGTGCCCGGCATTTACGACGTCGGGTATCCAGCTACGGGTAAATAGCAGGACAGACCGGATACTATAGCCTTGGATGGCAACTGGTCTACCGCAGAAAGAAATGGCAACCTACTGCGGGAAAAAATCTGCCTCGTCAGTCATGTATAAAAAGATCCATGATTACCTAAAGCGTGTATCACACATGGCATATAACTGTCCAATTTTCAATGCATACGTACTGCTAAACTGGACCCTGACTTTGTGTCCACATTGGTGTCTTTTTTTATGCATGTTAGGAAAATATGTTTTTTCATGTTTAATATCGTTTTTTTTGTTAATTTTAAAAATGAATTATTGTATTTTATTTTAACAATAAAACATTCGGAATGATGAGAACTGAGAAAATTGTCTTTCTTACCATTGTCAAGGAACACGTTGTTTAAAAAACAAAAACAAAAATGAAACGAAGTGAAAATCTTTTTGATATTATCAAATTGCCAAACTATTTCATAAAAGCGACTTTTATGAAATCTTTTCTTAATTTTTAAACATTATTCAACGATCCTTGTTAATTTATCCTGTTTCCATTGTAGAGAGATTTGTCTTTTTTTTCTTTTCTTCCCTTGACGATTATTCAAAGCGGACACAAAGTTTGGCTTCAGTTATTTTACCAGTACTTTTGCACCTGAAGTTATATATGAAAGAAAGTCAGGGTCCACTTTGACATTATATGTGCATTATAAATAGAACCCCCACTTTAGAACCACTTCGTTTTTTTTTAACTTTACACAATGAAACTATTCCAAAGAAAAAAAATCAGAAAAAACTCCACAAGGAAAATATATTCATTAAAAATATTAATTTTATCCAAATTTTTTCGCTTTAATTAATAATTTAAAAAATTAATTAAATTCGATTTATTTATTATTTGTAGATAAAAAAGTATTTCTTGACTTACAATATTTTTTTCAAATGACAAAAAGGAAAAAAAAAAATATATTAAAAAAAAGTTAGTTTTGAAGTACCAAAATATTTTATCTGCGAAATCAGGATTAAAAATATTTTCAAATTTATTTCTCATTCACAATTTTATTTTATTTTTTATTTTTGGCAAAGTCTTCCAAATTTTTATCATTTGTTAAAATTTCATATTCATAAACTTAATTAAATTGTTATTTTTTTATTTTCTGAAAAACAATAATTTAGGTTTATGAATGTATCCTAGTTGCTTTTGTAAAATTATTTTAAAGAAAATTTTTGCTTAATAAAGATTTTGTAGCAAAGAATAAAATTTGAACTTGTAATTTGATTTTAATGTTGCATCATAATTTTTTTTTTTTTTTTACCATGGCCTATTTTTTGTTTTCATTTTTTGTTACGCTCTGAAAGCAACAAATGATGCAAATAAAAAAAAAGAAAACAAACTAAAGTATAGCATTATGTTGCCTGACTATACTGGACCATTTTGGGGAAAAATAGAAAATTGCAATTTGCTAAAAATAAATGATTTAAAGATACTGATGGTGATTTCCCATAGGCACTACCATTTTTTGTTTTGATAAGATTCTCTGTAGATTAAGGAAAACAAGGCCTTCAATACATAACGAAAATATGTCAAAACAGGTTGTATGTTTTTATATGTCTACGCTGGTTTGGAAATAGCAAAAAGTACAAGTTTAATTTATGGCACAAATGCTAGGGATTGACATTTCTCTGTGTCTTCATAGTGTAACCCGGATATAAGAGAGATTTTCTCTGGTCCCAAATTAGAGCCTGTGTTAATGTATATAAAATAGACCTGACCCGGATATAAGAGAAACCCGGATATAAGAGACTTCTTTTCCGGCCCCGACAGCTCTCTTATATCCGGGTTACACTGTATATATATATATATATATATATATATATATATAAGTTCGCCTATCGTCTGGTTCACACTCTTTCCCAGTTTTTGAACAGGTGTAAAGGTTTATCCCTTGTTTTCTGTTTATGATTGGGTTTCTGGTTCCTTTTAAAGTTTACTTGAGCTCTATACTCCTAATATTTCCTACACTAATATAATGCCACACAGTAATCCTCTACCTTGTGTGGCTCTTGGGCCTTTTTATTGTGTGACTTAGTAAAAAAGAAAAAAATTGACACCAGACAAGATCAGTTTCATGAAGATACATAAAAATGTTTTGAAAATGTATATATATCAGCAGCAGACAAAGTTTCATAATGACATACAATATCATCTTGAAATCATCAGTTTTATAAACATATATAAGATTGTCTTGAAAGTGTGTGTGTGTGTCACCAGCAAGCAAAGTAGGTTTCATGAAATAAGTATATGAATATCTTCAAAATGTATCTATATGTCATCAGCAGGCAAAGTAAGTTTTGAAAAGACTTATAAGAACATCTTCAGAAGTATCTGATGAAGCAAATCTCTCTGACTTTAATATTTCAAGAATTATTCACAATATCTTGGAAAAATTAATCAATGTTTTTTATTCTTTTTGTTTTTAGAATTATTTTTTCTGATGAAAAAATCTATTTTTAATAGATTTTATAATAGAACTTTTTCTTTTTAACTGGGTTTCATTTGCTCTGTTTTATCAAATGAAATTCATTAATCATGTGAGTTTTTGCACATTTAAAAAGATTGTTTTCTTATTTAATTAATTGTGTTGTCTCAATTAGGATCAAGTTTGTCTATTGCAAAATTAATTGGCTTGTAATTAGAATGAAAGCATGAGGTGGAATAGCAAATCTTTTATCAGTAGTCACTTTAAATCAGAAATTCCTTAGTGGTAACATAAGGAGCTGAGGATTACGAAGCCCTGAGGCTGGTTCTGATTTACTGAATTAAACCCATTTGTTATATTGTGAATAGGAATTCACAAAATCAAAGAGACTTGATTGTTAATCCAATATTGATTAGCTACAAGCATGTTTTTACGAATTGCTTTCGTGTTCCATTGGTAAGAATGAAGTTTTCTGCAAACAGCTCCCCCACCCAGAACTGCTACTTTGTGGCATAGATTCCCAAAAGGATAATGATTCCCTGATCACTACAATCTTGACCTCTTCAAGTCTAGAGTCAGCAGTTATGTAGCATCTGTATGCACCTCCTTTACAGCCACCTCATGAACCAACGTTCTGTCTTGAGTGGCTCTTAGGCCTTGTATTAGGTGAATGATAGTATTAGAAAAAAAACATGAAAATATCAATGAAATCACTTTTTTTTTCTTTGTATTAAAATTGTTTGAGTTACCAGTTTATTTTGTAATTTTTTTTTTTATCTCAAACATTTGAAAAAAAATCATTTTGCTTTTATTTTATTTTTTCAAGTGGTGCCCTATCTTACCAGGAAGCAGTTACCCGCCCTTGAATTGATTAAAACTGATTTTTTATTCTCAACCAATGCTGCAGCAAGGTTAGTTGGATTTTTAATTTTATTTACTACTAGCACGCTTCGCCTGCTTGCTATTGCTTTGCAAAGAAAGACATATTCACTACTCGAAATTTTAGAAACAAAAATTTTAAATGAACATTTCATTCATAAATTAGCTTGTTATACTTAAGGAAAGTTTTACAAATAGATGCCAACTTGTTGAAGGCCAAGTAAAATGCAAATTTCAAACACTTTTCTACACTATATAAGACTATTCCTAAACAGAACTATTTTTGATATGAAAATCAAAACAATCCTCAAATAAAAAAAAAACAGTAATGAAGGACAGTTAATTAATAAAATATACTTTTTTTAAAAATCAATATGCAAATTAGTTAAACATGAAGAGTGATATTGCCTAGACGTAGATAATATATAATACAAATATTGAGCTTTTTACTATAAAGTAGAGTTGGGGCTTTTTAATCTGAGAATTTGTTATTTATATAGATTCCATAATATAAGTTTTACTTAATTAGCTGTTATGTTTCTCTAACTCTTCAAATGTTGAATGTATAACTAATTTCTAATTTCCCATCTTTACACTATATTAATTTTATCTCATAAATTATTCCCTGTTCTGTCACCCATAAAATAAAAATAATTGTTTGTATGAAAAATAAGGATCTACATACATCAAATCATTTTTAAATTAAGCGACAGCAGAAGAATTATTGTTGAACTTTTAAAAGGTAAGCTTAAACATTAATTCAATACTTGAATGCAATTTTGAGTTCTTGTGTAGTTTATTAATGCCTATCACATCTACTCCTCCCTAGCTATTCTGATGATGGCCAAACCAAGAGTCCTCCACAGGATCTAGCTTAAATGCCACCCAATAGGGTAGCTTTTAAGCTAGTTTATAATAAAATGTGCACTGCAATTTTGGATACAAACGGAAAACAAGAGTTACTCCACTTGAACTATGAAAGCAACGATAATGGCTAGTATAATATATTAATATATATTCTTAACCTCGCATGATCTGGCAACCCTGAATCTGAGCTCAATGAAAATTGTTCCCTGCGCCTAACTTTTCTAGGACTTTTGAATGCGTTATGAATCATTGAAATCAAACCAGTGGGAGTAGAGGAGTTGCTTGGACACACATACACTGTACTTTATATATAAGATGATGAAAAAGAATCCTGCCATGATGAGGCACTTATCAAATATTCTTAGGGTGTTAAAAAAGTCAGTAGTAGATATGTTTTTGTTTTCTGATCCATTAATGATGCTCTTGTCTAAACCATTTTGTATAGAAATGATGAGACTCTTTGATTTCTGTTGCCAAGTTGAACATTTAGTACCAACTAATTTTTTTTTTTTTTTTTTTTTAATCAAATTCACCCCATGTAATGCAATAAGACAGAAGGGGGTTACTGGGTGTGAGAGAATTAGAAAATAGAAGCACTTTTGAGGAGTGAGAACAATAGAAGAGTAATCAGGAAGACAGTTGATAACAATTGACATTGCATTTAAATTTTTGAAGATCAAACTTGTCTGGAAAACAGGAAGCTGGAAGAGAGTTCAACAAGTGAAAAGTGCAAGAAAAGAAACTGTTAGCATAGAACTTACGGTTCCATGTCGTCAATTCAACTGTAAGCTGATGGGATCTTGTTGCTAACCTAGAATTGCACTTAAATTCATAAAGTCTAGGTATCCAAACAATTACATTGAAATTATTTATAGAAAAAGACACAGGGAAGCAGCTTTATAGCGGTGGGAATATGACTGAAGCTGAGATGCCAGTTCAGGACCAATAATATTGCTGATTTTTACTAAGATTTTATCAAGAACCTCTATATAAAAAGCAGGAGTACCAGACCATATGTAGCAGCAATATTCACAGTATGAATGAATGGTAAACTTATAAATATATAAAAATAGATTCAGGATAGAAAAATTGTCTAGCATCACATGGTGAACCAACTTTATTGGCAGTAGGCCTAGCAATGGATTCCCAAAAAAAACAAAACATTTTTATAAATGCTAAAGAATTGTAGATTATTAATCTGACTGTTCTTTCTCTTTATTTTGATATATATATATATATATATATATATATGCATGCATTTTTATTTTCTTTTTTTCTTTTGTATTTCCTAAATTAATTGTTTTATGCTTGTTCTTGGTAAATTTCCCAAAGTTCATATTTATTTTTATTTTATATTATTTTTTTTTCTCAGAACTTTGAAATGAAATTTTTTTTTTAATAATAATTTTCAGTTTGACCGTTTATATGAGTGATTTGAAATTGGTTCCGTCAAATGTGAGAACGGTGTAATTAAGGAATAGCTGTGTAACTATATGCAAGACAATCATTGAAAAATGACTGGAACAACATTTGAAAGTACTTTGGAGGAACAAAAATAATAAAAACTAATTCAGAAATTCGAAAAATTTAAAAAAGAAAGAAATTTGATAGACTGAACTTGTCCATATTATTTAACCAAAATAGTTGAAAGAATTATTGCTGCCAAATTAAACATATATAACAATATATAAATTTTTATATATCAAAAACTGTTGGGATTTCAAGTCTGACTGTTTTGGGAAAGGGAAGGTAGAAAAACTATAATGGCAACTATTAGCATTTGAAGTGAAACTCAGCCAAGAAAGAAACAAATAACAAATTGTGGAATTCTCACTTGTTACTGGTGTATTCTCACAGTGGCAATCATTTGAGTAAAAAAAATTGCAACAAAAAATGTTATATGTTGCCTACAGCTAGTTCTCATTGTAGAAGGAACGTTGGAAAAATAAAAACAGTTTAGACTCTTATTAGTTTTGGTAACATGTTCCGTCAGCTTTGAAAGACAGAACACAGTCGTAAGGAAGGAAGGAAGAAAAATCACTGCTGCCACAGCTTTTGGCTAACTATTTCTTTCATTTTTTATATCTCTCTTTGAACACATATACAAATTTTGACTTCTCTTCAATCTGATGGTGTCGACTGGAACTCATTACAATACATTTTTGGTGAAGATGAAATAATGAAAGATATTTTCGTCCCAAGATTACAGTTAAATTCCCTTGTTTCTCCCCCTCCACTGAGCTTTGCTAAGATAAGTGCACAAAGTTTCTACAAAACAGTTTTGGAAGAAAGATCTATCACAAAGCAAAGAAAGGTTTTGGATATTTAGCCAATTTCGTTTAAATTCTTTTGCTTCTGGTTTCCATCACCTTTGTTATTGAATATCCAACATTTTTATATATATATTATATATATATATATATATATATATATATATATATATATATATATATATATTTATTGCACGCTTATCTAAATTAAAATAACTGATCCAAGTGCGACTTTTTGGATAATAAGTGCGACATTACTGTAATTATTGAACAATATAGTTCATGCCACTTTGACAGAAAATTTACCAGTAAAAAAAATTCGCTTATCACCATATTTGTACAAGAACGCACAACTGTAAAATTTAAAATCAAAACTCAGCGTTGCTACTGCACGCTCCAAAAACAATAACTCATTTCCAATAGCATTTTTCGGATACAACAATACATATATTTTCGTTGTCCTCTTATTACTGAGAGAAAAAACAAGAACAACATCTATTCCATACCTGAAGATGTCTGTAGGAACAGACGAAAGCTTGTAGTAAAAATAAGAACTAATGCAACAGAAATTTATAGAAACAAGGATCTTTTCATTCATAACAGGTTCGGGGTTTTTGTATATTATTTGAATTGTTTTGCATTTATGGATTTCTTGCCAATTAAATCATTAACCTTTGTATTTGTATGAATAATTCATGAATTTGTAAATTGAGTGCACGTTTATCGAAATATATATATATATATATATATATATATATATATATATATATATATAATATATTTTATATATATTCATACATGTTTCATTAAATAACATAGACAAGTGTTGTCTATTTTATGTAAATTCTTTTCATAATGTCTGATAAGCTTAATAACATTATCATTAAATGAAGAAAGAAAATCACAATATTGGTACATATTTTTTAATCCAATTTAAGCTTTTAACTTGCATAAGCCATTATCAAAGATGACAATTACAGTACAATATATTAAGCAATACACGGACAAGAAAGTGATGATAGTCTGTTTCTGTTTACATGGATGATTTCCAAGCAATGATAAATATGTGCATATAAGACGCTGGAAGCGAAAATTGCACTGCAGATCATGACGTCACACATGACCACGTGAGAGTGAATTAATTTTCGTGAGTCTATGCGTAATTTCCTCCAGTTTGTCCGATTGATAAATTGTCAACTAAATTACACAAAAATTAAAATAAAATTGATGTCTCATTTTAGCAGATATATTTATCAAAATTACATAAAAATATCTTGAAATACTAAAAAGTAAATTTATTCAATAAAATCGTCATTGGCTTCAACCACGACCTCCAGACGATTTTGGAATCTCTTGCAACTCTTCTGGACAATCTCCTTGTTTAAGTTGGTGAATGCTGCCATGATCCTTGCCTTCAGTTCAGGGGTTGTAGTCTAGGGAGTTAGGTGGCCAGGCATAAGGGGTGATATGGTTGCAGAAATTGTCTGACAGCCACGACTGGGTTCTGTTTGTGCGGCATGGCTCAGAGTCCTGTTACCAGACATAGGGTCTTCCAACAGCCACCCTCTTAATCCAGGGCAGCATTACCTCCTCAAGGCACTTGATGTAGGCCTCCATGTTGAGTCTGAGGCCCTCATCCAACAAATTCTGGAGTGCTTTTCTTATCAGAATGATCAGAGTGAGTTTTCTGAATTGCTATACCATCATAATCATTATTAGACTCCTCCAAGTCTTTCCAAATCCTCTGCACTGTCCTTGGATTGACCCTCAAACACTCTGAAATGTTCGTATTGGAGCTTCTGGCACCAATCAGTACAACATGCTGTTTCCAAATTTCTGGCAGAGGGAATTGCATCATGGTGCTCTTTTTCTAACAGACGGTGCCCAACTGACCCTACTCTACTGTGCAGTTGACAAAAACAATGCACATGCACAAAATTAAAAATATAAAGTGGCGACAATTTACTCATCGCACCTTGTGTTTGTGTTATATATATATACACACACACACACACACACACACACACTAGCAGCAAGGCCCGGCGTTGCCCGTGCTTGATTCAAAAATCGTACGACTCATACAGCAATCGCTATCACTTGACTTAAAATATTTTTGCCCTTCCTTGCCTTTAAAGGAGTGCCCGTTGCCGTGCTGATGTTGCTACATGCCTTACTTCTTGCCTATCTCACACTTCTAAGCTCTATACTAAACATTAAATCTGTTATGAAAAAAGAACTAAACAAAATGAACACAAAACGATCAGCTTTAAAAAAGGACTCAGTGAACTGAAAAACCGAATGAAAAAGAATGTTAACAACAAATCGTTTTCACACCCAACCCAGTTCTGCAGAATCAGAATCAACGTTGAGTTTAATCAAGCGAATGAGCCAATGGGAGTAAATTGCCATGCAGATTAAAAATTTTTCCCACTTGTGACAAATGCAGCTATCGATTTTTTTTGCATGCTAGTTAACATTTGTGTCAGTCAGTTGTTGGCTCTCACGCTGGCCAATAGAATCTTCCTGCCTATTCATGGCAGCCAGCTATTGGCTCTCACTCTGGCCAGTAGAAAATGGCCACAAACTACATGAAAACTGCTGTAGAAGCATGAAAAAATCGATTATTTCCACTATTGATGGGAGTTGGGAAATGCAAAGTCAGCCTTGGCCTTCCCGCTAACTTGGAGCATGTGCATGTAAATTTTGGTGCAAATCCATCAAAAATTGCAGCAGTGCATTCGTTACACACACACACATCCTGACTTTTTATATATATATATATATATATATATATATATATATATATATATATATATATATAAATGTATAATTTTCTTTTTTTTTATTTCTTTTAGAAAAGTTCCAAAATATAGAGAAAATGTTTCAACTGTGACAATGTAGAATTATAACTTTCTAAATATTAATAAATGTACTTAAAGTTTTGACTTTGACAATAGGGTTGTGTAACAACCCCATGACACTTTTTACTCTTATTGCTATTCTTCTTCTTCTTGTGCTGTGTCCTCTCAGGATGTCAGCGATCATGGCTCACTACAATTTAATGTCTTTTACAGCTCTAAATAATTTGTTTTTTTTTTTCTTTATTACTAAACTCTGTTCTGCCATCCAGCTTTTCTGAAGCTCACTAAGTATGTTATGCATTGTTTTCCTCTGTCCCTCTTGCTCTCAATCTGTCCTGTAAGTAACAGATTCTCCAAGCCCTCTTTCCTCATTATGTGCCCCCAGGAATTTTGACTCTCTCTTTCTGATGTTAAGAATAAGTTTTATATTGTTTCCATTTTCTCTAAAACCTCATTGTTGCTCACATGTTTGGTTCATGGTATCCTCAGCATCCTTCTGTTGAACCACATTTCTGTTACTTATTACTATTTCTTTTTTCTCTTCTCAGATTCTTACTGAGTGCAGATGTCAGTGATACAATTGTGGAAACTCAAATCGACACCTGGTTGGAATGGGAATCAACAAAATTGCAGGTGAGATAACGAGTCTACAGCTTTTTTTTTTAAGTTTATATTCCTTAGGTCCCCCACTAGGAAATTATTTTTTGGTGCAGGTGTATTTTTAATCTTTTCTTAACCAAAGTATAATGGTTTATGACAAAATTGACTACACCATCAAAAGACAGCCCCCTCCCCGCCGATAAATTTTAAGCACATCTAATATTTTGTTTAAATATCTCACAATTGATGTAAATAGCACATTTTGTAACTTGTATCCTTGTTGGCCTCTTTGGTATGGTGTCTGTGACCAAAATAGTAACGGTGCTGTTCTTGTCATCAAAAGTGACTTTATTTCCAATCCTTGCTGTTTTCTTAACAGTTACAGAAGTAAAACTAAAAAACCTGACATCTTGGTGAAAATAAAAGGAATGCTAATCTAAACTTTTTTTTTGTTTTCTTTTTTGTTGTAGATACTCACAAATAATATGTTGGTGTTGTCCTCTGGAACAGGCAAGGAAGAGAAAAGCACTTGCCTATCTGACCTGAAAACTCTCCTCAAATATATTGACAATAAATTGGATGAAAATGACAACACTCTTGTAAAAGTAAGTCATCTTTATAGACTATTATACAAGGGATCAAATCCTGACCCCCACCTCCACAATTCCTTGGTTTCCACCGTTTCTTTTAGATGCTCTGCCCAATTTAGTTCATTGACTAAAATCCCTTGAACTTTTGAACAACACTTTGAATTTTGTAATTTGCATCAGGCAGTGGATGGGTGGGTTGGGGTGGAATAGGTCTTATTTTCCTCTGGAAAACCGTAATAATTGAATGAAAAGTGTTAGAAAATTCCAAATAATAATAATAATGGCTGTTGCAAGGGAAAGTGTTTTAAACAGAATTATCATCTGCATTTTTCAGTACAAGATTTCCTAAAACATTTCGCCCTGTCGGCTGCGGCTGTAGAATGCGCTGACTGCACCTCTGCAGAAGGGTAAGACCCCCCCCCCCCAATGGGGTGTCCTGGGTATGACGATAAACTACATCCACATCCAGGATAAGACAATAAACTATCCAACAGCAAGGCCTCTGATAAGGAGATTTTCAGGTGCGTGGAACCACCTTTTGTGTTCCCAGGTCCACCCTGACGCGAGGTGGTAGCATCTGTTAGGGTTTCAGCTATGGGCAAATAGTTAACCCCAAAACTGAGGCAAAATGCATAAAAGTGTAAAAATAGGTTTTAATACCAAAAATACTTTGAAAAAAATTATTACCAGAAATTAATTTAAAAAAAAAAAAAAAATTTTTTTTACCAGCAATACATGTGATTGTACTCAAAAATATGAGTAATTGAAAAATGGTTATATATATATATATATATATATATATATATATATACACACACACACTTTTTTTTACCAACCTATCGCTATGTATCTATTTTGAAAATTTTGTTGGCATTAAATAACCCACTGAGGTTGATATGCCATAAAACAAAACAGCCAACCAACCTAAAACATTTTTTTTGTTGTTGTCGCAATTCAGGCTTTTGTTTAATATTTTTCCCAGGTATGGAACGTTTTCATGTTGCTTCGACAAAGTCAGGTGACGTGTTGCTTCGACAAAGTCAGGTGACGTGTTGCTTCGACAAAGTCAGGTGACGTGTTGCTTCGACAAAGTCAGGTGACGTGTTGCTTCGACAAAGTCAGGTGACGTGTTGCTTCGACAAAGTCAGGTGACGTGTTGCTTTCGACAAAAAGTCAGGTGGCGTGTTGCTTCGACAAAGTCAGGTGGCGTGTTGCCCGACAAAGTCAGGTGGCGTGTTGCTCGACAAAGTCAGGTGACGTGTTTGCTTCGACAAAGTCAGGTGGCGTGTTGCTTCGACAAAGTCAGGTGGCGTGTTGTTTCGTAAAAGTCAGGTGGCGTGTTGCGCCCGACAAAGTCAGGTGACGTGTTGCTTCGACAAAGTCAGGTGACGTGTTGCTTCGACAAAGTCAGGTGACGTGTTGCTTCGACAAAGTCAGGTGACGTGTTGCTTCGACAAAGTCAGGTGGCGATGTTGTCGACAAAAGTCAGGTGACGGTTGCTTCGACAAAGTCAGGTGACGGTTGCGCCGACAAAGTCAGGTGACGGTTCGACAAAGTCAGGTGACGTGTTGACAAAGTCAGGTGACGTGTTGCTTCGACAAAGTCAGGTGACGTGTTGCTTCGACAAAGTCAGGTGACGTGTTGCTTCGACAAAGTCAGGTGACGTGTTGCTTCGACAAAGTCAGGTGACGTGTTGCTTCGACAAAGTCAGGTGACGTGTTCATTCTAACATGTTTTGGTGTATTTATTTTATTTTTTAAAATAACAGCAGCAGAATTTTGAGTGAATTTAATAGCAAGTAAACAATTGGGGTCTGGATTTGAATATTTCCATCCATCACAGAGGTCATTTGATCATTTTGAAGAAGTGACAAAAGTCACCCAAATATCGTACTCATTACATACTTGGGTACATCTTTGTGTGCTTCATTTATCTCTCTACATTAGTTGTGTATTTGTAGCAGATACGAATAAAAATCTTCACCCTTAAGCTCTTAACTAGAAGAAAATATTACAATTGTGGCTTTTGCTTTTAAAAAAGATAAACTGTGAATATTTTATTATTCCTCTTTGGTATAATGTCATTTAAAATTCCCAAAAATGATTGTCATTGTTCTGCACTAACTTTGAACTGGTATCTCTCTTTTTTTTTTCTTTTTTTTTTTATCTTAACATTTCAATTGATGTAGTAATTTGTGTAGCTGGATCCTTTTTTTCTCTGTTTTTCCAGATTAGCTATTTGATTGTTTCTGTCCGCATGAATCGTTAATGCTCAGATTCTAGAACCAATTTGAAAAAAGTGAAAAAAAAAATTGTCTAACCAAATGAATCTAACAAAAAAGACATCAGCCGAAATGTGATGAATGTTAAAGCTGTCATTTTAAAAATCATAAAAATTTTTTTTTTTCTTAGGGACAAATAACAACTGCTGATGTCATTGTGTGGTCAACACTTTATCCAATTCTTGGCAATGAGAAATTTTTAAAAGGTAATATTTTTTCTTAAGATTAAAAAACAATTTTTTTTCTTGTAATGCAGAGTGTGCCATTTTTTAAAACATTTTGCAAGGAAACAAAACAATTCTACTTCCAATTTTTCAAACTTTCTGTTCTTTGCTAAAAACACAAATAATTTAAGTACATTTCAATAAAACATATCTTAACCAATTCAGGAAACAGTTTCAAACTGAGAAAATTCAGATTTTTAAAAAAAAGAAAAATAGTAAACCTGTTTGATGTACATGGTGAAATAAGATTTTGCAAAAGAATAAATGTACTGTTGCATGTCAGGTAAGAAAGATTACATTGCACTAATACCTACTGAACTGTATTTGTCATAACTGGTGATGAAAAGTAGATATTTTACAGCAACAAGGTGTGAATGAGATTGTGGAGCAAGCAAAATGAACCATCAAAGGTTGGTTTGTACCGTCAAAGAAGATGTTGCCATGTATATGGTGGGATTGGAAAGGATTCCTCCACTATAAACATTTTGAACAGATTATGTGCCCAGTTAAACCAACTAAAGGCAGCAATTAATAAAAATCCTCTCAAATTAGTGACGAGAAAAATTGTAATATTCCCTCAAGGATAATACTCGACGGTATGAGTTTTTGGTGACCAGGCAAAAAATCTTGGCTGGGAAGTTTTTCCCTCATCTGTTCACAAGATATTGACCCCCTTCAGATTTTGACATTGATACTGACCTTTGCAATGGATGAATTCATTTCTGATATAATGGAATATGCGTACACCTGTGTTCCCCCTCACTGGAATATGATTGGCTGGCGTCTGTCATAAATACCAACGGACGTGTAGGTACGACAGTGAGTAAAGAGCCTTAGTCTGAGAGCTAAGTCATTGGACTATGCCATTGATCTACACTTCTTACCTGCGACTACGACGCGTACCAGTCGATTACTGCAACTGTATTCTACTTGGTTATAGTAGCCAAAACCACTTAGCTACTTCATTCAAATATATCCCTTTCCGGGACATGTCAATTTCTCTAGAAGATTGTAAAAGAACTCTAGAACAATTCTTTGCTGAGAATGATTGAAGTTGCCTGAAACTGAAGTTAGAAATTACTAAAACAAAACAGTAAATATATTTTTTAATAAAGTTAATGCTAAAAAAATAAATTATCTATTTTTTACTTAATAAACCAAAGTTTATATATTACCCAATAACAGAGCAAAGCAATAGAACAACAAATGGAAATAAGTAAAAGGCGTTTTTAATTCCTTTGATCTACAAGGTTTGCTCATTCTCGTGTGGGGGGGTTATCATATATCAGTCATGGAAGACTGAGAGTTTGTTCAGGGTATAACACAAGGTAATAGTTGAGATATGTGTAGAAAATCAACAGGTATATATATTCGAGTGAGATAGACTTGTGGGATAAAATCATCATGAATTAGCTCATTTGAGCAATCGGGCATTAGACTCTGTCATTGCTGGTTTTGTCGCTGACCGAAGGCATTACTGTTGATGGAAGCACTCTGGTGTCACTGCTAATTGCCTTGGTAGTTGTGTAGACTACCATGTTTGGTAAAGCTGTCTGTCTGCCATGAGTGTCTGTCGCTAATGCTGGATCTGCCCTGGTAAGTTGTTCTGGTGCTGGCTTTTATCAGTTAGTGACTCAGAATTGTTGCTATGAAAACAACATGAGCCTTTTTCTGATTGGTTAGAAAAGATGTTTTATGACCTTGATATTTTTGTATGTAGGAAGTGATTGTGTAGAGGTGGATGAAATTAAGGTCTGTTTTTGTCGTGCTGTGGATGTCAAAGTGAACATTTCCATTTGAGTTAAAGAATTGGAGTTCTGACAATATCAAAAGAATTTGTTTTAAAGAAAAAAAAAGCAAATTCATGGAACAAGAATAATGATTTTTAACCTCTAGAAAATATGTTAGCAGTGGCTTTGTCTTAATAGTTTAAGAATTTAATTTCTTCTTTTATGATTGTTTCATTTATGATGATGACATTGATGGCTAAATAAATGAATATTTGCATGGAAGAGCCGATGGCATTGACTGAATAGTAATGTTGGTGGAAGACAAGATCGGTTTTGTCAAACCTTTCTCTCTTGTTGTTTGACTTCTTCCTTTTCTCTTCTAATGGTTTTAAAATATTTTGGCTTTGATGCTGATAAAACATCATCAGTTGGGACAGTCTCGGGCTTGTATTTCAAATGATTTTGGTTAAGTCCAGTGTTGTTTTGAGTTGGTTCTTATATCTTCAAAGAGGGCAAACCCATGGTCTTTTTCCTGAAGTGAGCTCACTCAATAAGATATGATGTCAAAACCTCAGCACTTCCATTCTTACTACATGTCCTGACCATCAAAAACTGTTTAATGGTCATCGATTCGATACTTTGTTACTATTGGCTCTTTTCAGGACTTTGTTATTTGGTCACGTAGTATTTACATTTGATGTTTAAATTATCTCAGTAAATATATTGAAAATGTAAATTTTTAATTTTGCTTAATAAATCGGTCTTTTTGGCCAAACTAATATAAATGTGTGTGTGAATAGAAAAAACTTGGTGCCTCAAGATACATGCTTGTAAAACTGTAACATTAACAGAATCCACTTCAAAGTCATCAAAATCATTCATCTTGGAAAAAAAAATGTTTCAGAAACTCTGAGATAAAAGAATGTCTTGGAAAATTGAAACTCAATGTAAGAATCAAAGCAGCAATGATTCCCAAATATATATTTTTTTAATCATTTCACACCAAGTAAGGTAATAAGATGCAAAGGTTTACTGGGAGTGGAAGAGAATGAGAAGACTTAAGGGAAGAGAAGGTACAAAAGAACAAAGGATCCAAGAAAGACAGAAGATGGCAATTGATTTTACATTTAAATTCTTGAAGATTGTAGGTGGCAGGGAAGCAAGACATTGCAAGAGAGTTCTACAATTGAGAAGTACAGGTATAGAACTTCTAGCTAATTCAACAGTAAAACAATGAGACCTAATTGCCAATCTAGTAGTACATTTAAATTTCTAGAAAAGACTGAAGAAAGCCATGTCATGTTAGTGGGGAAAGTGACTGAAGTCGAGATGCCAGGTCAGGACCGATAACATTAAAGACTTTTTTGATTTTGTTGAGAATCTCAAGAGCATCAGACCAGGTATGGCAATAATATTCAATGAAGGGATGAATTGTAAATTTATAAATGTGTAAGATGGATTCTGATGAGAAAAATTGTCTTGCACAACACAATGAACAAACATGATTAGCAGGAAAGTTAACAATAGAAACATTCCACTTCATATCAGTAGAAAATGTGAGACTAAGAAGGCAAAATGATCTCCTCTCCTGGAGGTGAGCATCGGCCATGCTGATGGAGGCCAAAAATGGTTCTCTATGATGATTAAAAGACAGCAGTTTTTTTTTGGAGGCATTAAAACTTAGAAGCTATTTCTTGCCTCAGTAAACAATTTGTTGAAGGCCTTTTTTTTTTTTTTTTTTTTTTTAGGAGCAGCTGCCAGTTTTATTTTAATCTGACAAACCATTGAGAAAATGTTAGTGCTCAAAAAAATTGACTTTGTGTCAAGTGGTTTTGTCTTGTTAAATATTACGCTAAGGAAGGACAGTGCTCTAATCAGCTGCATCGTTCCAATGTATGTTATTTTAAGATCTTTCTATTTGATCAAAGAATGAGAATCTATTTAAAAAAAAAAAACAAACTACATGACCACTATATACTAATTGATGAGCCATTTAAAAGTTTATCATCTGAAGATTGTTAGTTGGGTTTCATAAAAAAGTTTTTATGTTCTTTTCTATTTTTTCTTTTTCTTTCTCTCTCTTATAAACTATTATGTTTTTCTTTTCTCTCTCTTTCAAACTCTTTTCTCTCTCTTTCAAACTCTTTTCGCTCTCTTTCAAACTCTTTTCTCTCTCTTTCAAACTCTTTTCTCTCTCTTTCAAACTCTTTTCTCTCTCTTTCAAACTCTTTTCTCTCTCTTTCAAACTCTTTTCTCTCTTTCAAACTCTTTTTCTCTCTTTCAAACTCTTTTTCTCTCTTTTCAAACTCTTTTCTCTCTCTTTCAAACTCTCTTTTTCTCTTTTCTCTTTCAAACTCTTTTCTCTCTCTTTCAAACTCTTTTCTCTCTCTTTCAAACTTTTTCTCTCTTTCAAACTCTTTTTCTCTCTTTCAAACTCTTTTTCTCTCTTTCAAACTCTTTTTCTCTCTTTCAAACTCTTTTTCTCTCTTTCAAACTCTTTTCTCTCTTTCAAACTCTTTTTTTCTCTCTTTCAAACTCTTTTTCTCTCTTTCAAACTCTTTTCTCTCTTTCAAACTCTTTTCTCTCTTTCAAACTCTTTTCTCTCTCTTTCAAACTCTTTTCTCTCTCTTTCAAACTCTTTTCTCTCTCTTTCAAACTCTTTTCTCTCTCTTTCAAACTCTTTTCTCTCTCTTTCAAACTCTTTTCTCTCTCTTTCAAACTCTTTTCTCTCTCTTTCAAACTCTTTTCTCTCTCTTTCAAACTCTTTTCATCTTTTTTCTCTTTTTCTTTTTCTTTTTTATTCTTTTTCTTTCTCTTTTTTATTCTTTTTCTTTTCTTTTTATTCTTTTTCTTTCTCTTTTTTTTATTCTTTTTCTTTCTCTTTTTTTTATTCTTTTTCTTTCTCTTTTTTTTATTCTTTTTCTTTCTCTTTTTTTTATTCTTTTTCTTTCTCTTTTTTTATTCTTTTTCTTTCTCTTTTTTTTTTATTTGTATATGTTTTTGTTTACTTTTTCCCTTTTCTCTCTTTTTAGGCTGGGAAACAGAATATTCGCGTGTCTATGATTGGTTCCAGAATCTTTTGGTCAGGAAAGAATTTCAAGATGGTGTGAACCAAGTAACTGATGGCAAAGGAATTTCTGCATTTAAAGTAAGTCTTCAAGATGATGATAAATTTTGATTTGTTTTCAATGTATTTCACTAGCTGTCATTTGTACTTCCCTCTCCCAACCCTGTTCATTGTGTTGACACTTTGCTTCCCCACCCATCTCTCCGATAATAAATCCACAGATCCGCTCTGATGAGGCTCCCCCCCATGTAGAAAAATTTAAAAAGTTCAGTAAAACTTCTTCCTGAACACTCGAGTCCTTTTCTGTCCATTTTCTTTCAGTTCTGCTTTTAATGTTTAGCTTCTCTCTTTCTAAAATACAAGGCGGGTGGTTCATTACCGAAAAGCCAATCAACCGGCGTTAGTGTCAAGACAAAGAAAGACTCTGAGAAAGCTCCCAAGAAAGAGAAGAAAGAAGGGAAACCTGATGTGAAGAATAATTCTTTTGTTCCTTCCAAAGTTTCTGCTTCAGATGCTGAACAGGTAACAAAAAATCTTTTGGCATTCAAAATGTTTTCTAATTTTCCAGTTTTTCAACAATTTGTTCTTTTGATCATTACAAGGAATCCTGGATGTGCATACATCGAAGCAAATCTTACAAATATATTGACAAAAATATAAAAAAGAAAAGCAAGATGAAGATATTGGATAAAAACTTCCTGTTTAAACTTGAAAAAATAATTGACAAAATATTTTTTCTTTCTTTCATTTTCTTTAACTATTAGTTTGAATGATTTGTAGTGATTTATAAATAAGACGTGGGAGTTGCATCCCCTGCCTTGTTAGGTTATAGTAAAAGTAGAATTTCAATAATGCACTAGAAAGACAGTTTTGATACAAAAATACAAAGTCTCTTTCTCCTGCAACTGACCCTAACCCTAACCCTACCAGAAAGGCATGTTTTCTTAAATGAGCTCACAAGAAAGATCTCTTCATACAGATAAGCCTAAAACCATTTCTTTCTTTGCATTAATATATACAAATCCATATACATGTGTTTGTGTATATGTGTCTATATAATATATATATATATTTAAGACATTTTTGTTTATACATTCTTTTTATAGATACAAATATTTAAGTAAATGCTCTGTTTATAATAAACAGTATTAAACAACATTTACTGGCCTGAATGTCTGAGAAATTTTCATAGAAAATATTCGTTCTCTGACAGGATTCGAACCTGTATCCTATATGGAACTGTCATTTAGCCTGACGTGTTCTTAACCGATTCGGCCACAGAGGAGGGTTCGGTTAGCAAGGTCGACTTTACTGTCTTTAAACTACAATCTTCCATGATTCTATCACGTACATTCATGTCTGCTCAATGCGTATCCAAATGTAAACAAATGACGTCACACATTATGAAATGGACAAAGTCCAACAATTATTTTTAAGACATTTTTATATTTACTTAAATATTTGTATCTATAAAAAGAATGTATAAACATAAAAATGTCTTAAAAATTCATTGTCGGACTTTGTCCATTTCATTATATATATATATATATATATATATATATATATATATATATATATATAATGAAAAGGAATGGTAGTCTGTGTGTTGCTTATATATAGGCTGGTTAATAAAATTTGAAGAATAAAAAACAAGTAGTCAATAAAATTGATATTTATTATATATTAACCTTTTGACTGAACTGAAGCACAAAGAGAAAGATTTTAATGTTGGAAATTTCAAACATGCCTGTGTTCTTTTTCAATGAATCGAATTTTTTTTTTTTTTTTTTTTTTTTTAAGGTTGGTGGGGTGGCAGCTATTGAAATTTAGGTAGCAATGACCATCTGTAGGGTTTGGTTTATAGTATAGTGGAGATGTGGGCATTATTTAGTTGTACCAGTTCATCCTAATATGGAATATAAGTAGTGGAATATTTGATATCCTGTGAATAATATGAATTGATTATGTAAGCAATTGTATGTTTACTCAAAAATTAATCATTTAATAGAGATGCTATACTTTGTTGCATGCACACGAAAAAATGTTCCTATTTAATTTCATGTAATATGGCACCCAAATATTAATTTAACATTTAAGACTTTAAGAATTTTTTGCAACTCTGAGTAGAAGTGGTGGGATAGATCTGCTGATTGTAGAAAAGAATTTACTTGGCATCTGTTGAACTCTATCTATTTCCAGGACCAAATGGCTGAAGTAACTGTCACTGATGAAGAAATCTCCATTGCTGTCTCCTCATGGCACAATTCCCATCCTGTGACAAAGACAAAACGATCACATCCGATGTAAGGGAACTTTTCTTTTATAGACCAAAAAAATAGTCTCATCTTCATTGTTTTTTCATGTAAACAGCCCCTACTTCATATACAGCCCCTACTTCATATACCACTGTCCAATCTTCTGATGTCTTAAAGAAATGATTTTGATTGTCAATAAGTTTGACCTCTTTCAAAAGGTGATTCTTTGAAGTTAATTTAATATATACTAGACGACCCATACATATATATATATATATATATATATATATAAATAATAATAAAGTCAAGGAATACTAAACCCATTAGGTTTCATTTAAAAGCAGTTCGTGATACAGAATTATGAGGTAACAATATTATACATTTTATTATTTACACATCTTAATTTGTATTTAAAGGCGGTAAAAGAAGGTTTATTGTTCCACTGGGCTTCATAGTTAACACACTGCATGAAAATTTTAGTAATATCTTAAAACAGTTGTAGTCTTTTTCAAAATAATAAATATATTTTTTATTATACGTACTTGTTTCTTCCTCGCATTTATTTCAAAATACATAACGGCAGTAAATCAGTGTGCATCTTTTAAAAAAAAATGAATGTGCAGGGCTATTTATATATATATATATATATATATATATATATATATATATATATATATAAAAATAATAAAATCGAGGAATACTAACTACTTATACATATTCCTTGACTTTGATATTTAATAGACCTGCACATTCATTTTTTTTTTTTTTTTACATTGTGTATTGAGCACTCTTTTATATATAACTATTTTCCGGACAAGTCTAACTTTTACCGGAGAGAAAAAAACAACTTATATATATATATAATTCTGTATTTGGGCAGCAATTCCTCTTTTATACAAATTTCATTAAAAACAACTGACAAGGTACAGCATTGAAGTTTTTTCTTATTTAAATTTGATTAAATTATAATTTTCTTCTTTTCTGGACATAAATTATGTAAAAATTGTCTGAATGTTCTTCATATCCAAGTGTTTTCAGTTATACTTTTAGCCATTAGCAAGAATGATTTTATTTTTAACTAAATGTATGGATTGTTTTATGTATGTATCTAGAGTTATAGCAATGCTTTATTTTTCAAACATGGTCAGCACATTTTGGCCGTGTTCATAGTTGATATTATTGAGTGCTAGCCTTTTTCTTTTTTATTAATAATGTTTCCATTATTTTTAGCTTTTTTTTTTATATGTGGATGAAGCTATTATATTTGTTACAGATAGTTTGGTAGGTTACCATGTGTATTTAAATGAGGCCTAATTGAGCAATGGCCAGAGAGATGTAACATATAAATTAGTTTTCTGATGAACTACTAATGGTAGTCATAATAGAAAATGTGTCATTTTATTATTATTTTGGGGAGCTACATTTGGAAATGGGGAAACCTTTTCAGTTGTCAGAATTCACTATATGTAAAAAGTATGTGGAAATATGAAATATACCTTGATTGAAGCGTAACAAAGTGAGTCACATTCTTTTTTGACTAATTGACATTTTAATACCAAGTGCCATCTTGAATTATTTGTTGGGGAGGGTTAGTTATTGAGTTTATTTTTTTTTTATTTTTAAATAATTTTTTTCAGTTTACCCAAACCAGATGCCCGTAATATGCTTATTACAAGCGCCTTGCCCTATGTTAACAATGTCCCTCACCTGGGCAACATTGTTGGCTCTACCCTCAGTGGAGACGTTTTCTCAAGGTAAGCATTTTAAGTTTTATTTTGTAATCTCCCTCATCTTTTTTCTTATTTTTGTGAATTTAAAGTAAGATATTATATGAAAATTAGTAAACTAACCATAAAAAAATGACGGTATTATTTATATATGAATCGACACATGTACCCATGGCTGGATTATGACCTTTTCTGACCCCTTGGCTAATAAAAACATGCCTCCTCTGCTCAGACTGAGCCACTCTCTAACTTGCCTGCACCCTTGTAAATATTTGTTACTCTTGATATATTTTAATGACATTTACATATCTTGAATTAAACTTATTGCAAATTCCTTAAATAAACTAGAATAGTTATCTTTTTGTTTGTCAATAAGAATCTTCTTTAAGAAATACCCTCACTATTTTATTATTTATTACAAACCAAATTAGAACAGATTTCAACAAAACCCGTGTAAAAAAAAAAAAAAAAAAAAAAAACAAAAAAAAACCCCAAAAATCAGATTTTTTTTATAAGAAACACAACAACAAAACAATTAAAATAAATATGAGTTTGTCATATTAATATCATTTCAGTTTATGAAACTATTTAGAAATTATAATATCTAAAAAAATTAAAACCATTGCTTTATAAAAGCTTGAGGGCGCCTACTAACCTAGGATGCAGTCTGTACAAGCCTAAAGGATAATCTGGCCCTGGCCCCTAGGCTGCAGCCTATATTGGCCTAGAGGATAATCCAGCCCTGGCCCCTAGGCTGCAGCCTATATTGGCCCAGAGGATAATCCAGCCCTGGCCCCTAGGCTGCAGCCTATATTGGCCTAGAGGATAATCCAGCCCTGGCCCCAGGCTGCAGCCTATATTGGCCTAGAGGATAATCCAGCCCTGGCCCCTAGGCTGCAGCCTATATTGGCCTAGAGGATAATCCAGCCCTGGCCCCTAGGCTGCAGCCTATATTGGCCTAGAGGATAATCCAGCCCTGGCCCCTAGGCTGCAGCCTATATTGGCCTAGAGGATAATCCAGCCCTGGCCCCTAGGCTGCAGCCTATATTGGCCTAGAGGATAATCCAGCCCTGGCCCCTAGGCTGCAGCCTATATTAAATTAAAGATAATCTGACCCTGGTCCCTAGTCCATAGGCTATACATACCTAAAGGATAATCCGGCCCTGCACAATACAATCCTAAAGAATAATGCAGCCCTTTACCTAAGATAAGTATAGTATCTGTGTTTTCTGCTTAGTGACTGAATGTTTCTACCCAGCCATCAATGTAGTATCTGTGTTCTCTGCCTTGTCCGAAAGTGCTGCTCTCTTGCCATCTGCTTAAGATCAGTGTTTTGTCTCCACTTGAAGATGTGAATTTCTATCCTGTTCCTTTTCTTTGTCAGGTATTGTCGACTCCGCGGATACAATTCTTTGTATATTTGTGGCACTGATGAATATGGAACTGCAACAGAAACAAAAGCCCTGGAAGAGGGACTCACCCCACAACAAATCTGTGACAAGTATAACAAAATCCACCGGGAAATCTATGATTGGTTTCAGATTTCTTTTGATTATTTTGGTCGAACGACAACACCCCAACAAACTGAGTAAGTAAGGCTTTTGTCAAATTGAGGCACTTAAACTTTGACATTGTCAAATTTTTTGTTCTTCTTCCTGAAAAGGTCAGAAATTAAATTTTATGTAACAAAAAAAAAAAACAATACATACTGACACTTATTCAGTTTAGTCTGGCACAAGGCTTCAATCGTGGAACACCCAGTGAGAAGCAAACACTCAATGGCCTATGAAATGGTCATACTTGTTTATTATTGTATAGCAACAGGTACTCTTTTGTTAAAATTAGCTTAGTTTGACACAAGGCCACATAGCACAAGAGGGAAATTGTATTTTGCACATATCATCTTTGTTAGAAAAAGTGTAATGGTTTTGAAACTCTTGATTGTTAAGGCTGCATGACATTGTGTGTGTTGGGGTGGGTTGGGGGATGGTGAAGACCCAACTCTTTTGACCACCAAGCAAATCAAGTGAGTAAAATGTTATAAATATATAAACTCCAGTTCTTGTAGAACTTTTGATTAATTTTTGTCTTTCTTTTTTCTGTATGTGTAATATATATATATATATATAAAATCTTTTTTTTCTGTATATAATTTGTTATATTTTGTGCATATTTCCAAAGATCTGAAATTATTCTATACACATTCCTCTATGTGGTCAGTTTCTGTTGAAATAAGAGGCAATAATCATCATTGCCCTGTGTGTGTGTGTGTGTTAAAATTTGTCATTTCAATCCAAGCAAGGCGGTAATACCACTAACATGTAGGGGGTTACAGGATGTGGATAAGAATAAGGAGGATTGAGAGAAGGACAAAGAAAAATGAGCAGGATTCCAGAAGACAGAAGATGGTGATTGACATTGCATTTAAATTTTCAAAGATTGTTGGTGGCAGAGAAGCACGGAAACGGAAGGGAGTTCCACAGGTTTGAAGTATGATAAAGTGTGTGTAATATATATATATATATATATATATGTGCCTGAAAACCATACCAGAGGTTGACCCAAGCCTTTTAGGTTAAATTGGGTAGACGGAACTTTTAAAGGCCATCAATAGCTGTGCTAGCACAAAGCCACAAGTCATTGTGGCCGAGGGCTTGAGTGTGCCGGCCTTGTTCAAAATTTGTCCAGAAATACCATAACCTTTCAACTTGTGAAGACCAGTATGCCAAACCCTGTCAAATGCCTTTTGAGATATTCAAGACAACAGCTCAACCTTCACCATTCTTATCTAAAGCTCGATAGGCTCTTTCAGCAATAATCATTAACATATCAGCAGTTGACCTAGAGAAGTGAAAGCCATATTGCTTATCTGAAAGAAGACCCTGTGAGGAGAGATGCTTAACCAATTCAGAGTTAGTCTCTAGCACTTTGCCAAAATATGGTAGAAGGCTGGTACTTAGTCTGAATTCTTAAAGATTGGAACTACAGAAGAGGATTTCCAACAAACAGGAAAGCAAGAAGTAGCAAGGCATTTATTGTAGAGTTTAGAGAGAACAGGAGCCAGTTCAGGAGCACATTTCTTAAAGACTATTGCAGGTATACCATCAAGACCACATGCTTTGTGGGGGATACAGTTTAGAGGTGATAACAGAAGCCATTAATGGAGTTATATGCATACCACTTAATAGAGACTTGGTTCTGAGTGGGAAGTCAGGGAAAGATACTCCAGATGATTCAATAGTAGAATTGGAAGAGAATTTACAAGCAAAACATTCTGCTTTATCAGTATAAAATATTAACACCTCAGATTGAGTGAAGAGAGGAGGGATAGAAGACTATTTAACACACTATTACAGAGCCATGAACCACACTTGTTAGAGGCTATATGGTACCTCATAAAAAAAGACTTGGCCTCTTTGAGGGCATGTTTACAATTAGTTTGAGCAGTCACAAATAGACGTCTGTTGTAATTGGAATTAGTGGCACACCTGGAAAAAGTGATTCCTGTGGGTTATAGTGGCTGAACTGGCCGGTGTAAACCAAGGAGAAGATTGTGGTTTCACCTGATATTTGTAAGAAGGTACAAAAGTATCAATGCCAGCTTTAACACAAGAAGAAACCTCTGTGGCACAATTCTTAATAGGAAGTTTAAGAATATCAATCCAAGGGGTGTCTTGAAGAAAGTCACAAAATGAATACCAATCAGTATGCTGGTAACAGAAAGAAATCTTGTAAGTAGGAGGTTCCTTTCTAATAGACGACTCAAAAGAAATATCACAAGATATTTTTCTAAATTTTTACGATTACCAAATAAAAAAGGCACTCATATTCATATTCAAGTAATTTTTACAGATATGTACCCCCATAGAAAAAAAATTAGTAAAATTTCTGGTTGTCAGTCAAACTGACAACTGATTAAAGCTAAGATAGTTATAATACGTCTAAATTATTTAATCAAACTTTCTTGATATCTATATATGTGTGTGTATGTATTTGGGCAGCAATCCTTTTCTCATAAATGTTTGATTAAAAATAAAACAGTATTTCTGTTAAGTTTTCAAATGTGTATTTCTTGTGTGTGAACTCAAGATTTCTAGGTGGGGAGGCGGCCTATTGAATGTAATTGTCATCTAAATGAACGTTTGTTTCAATCATTTTCCACTAATCTAGTAACTATTTTCAAGAATTTCACTTGTGCTGTTTGAAAGGATGTGTAAGTTGCTGAGATGTAGACATATTTTTAATTCTTGAACATGGCCAGTACATTATGGCCATGTTCATGTTCTATATAAATTTTTACTTGTAGTAGTGGAGTGTCATTAGTTTTTACAGTAAGGGGTTGAGAATTTCACATTGCTTCAAAGTCTACAGTTCTTCAGTTTATCCCTGATCCTGTGTCATGTTTTTTGAGACAAAGCTGCAGTTTTCATTGTTGAAATAAAGTTGATTGGAGGGGGGGGGTACGCCATTATACTGAAATTTTAACAAATCTAATTTTCAGTTAATTTTCTTTATCAATTCATTGATAAAATTTGGGGATTTGAACCCAGGTCACAAATGTCCAACTCAAGAAGAGTGTTGGTGGGGGGAGGACACTTTATTTAAATTTTTAAGAGGATTATTAGTGAAGAAGATGAGAAAAGATTTAAATTTTAAAAGAAAGTTCTTGTTGCTATTTGGAATATGAATTCTATTTTATGAAAATATGATGGATTTCTTCCAAATTATTTTGCCTTAAATAAAAAAAATTTATAAGTTTTTTTTTTTTTTTTTTTTAATTTGAACTTTATCTTTTTAAATAAAAAAAATTTCTTTTTCAGAATTGCCCAAAGTATTTTTTGGAAATTACATCAAAATGGCTTTATTTCGGAAAACACAGTCGACCAACTGAAATGTGAAAAATGTGATAAGTGAGTTTTTTTTTTTTTTTTTTTTTTTAAATTGCTAACAATGTTTATTTAGACCTAGTTGCCTCATACATGGGGATGTGGAGTTAGAATTATTTTGAATATGCAATAAATGGCTGGATCTGGCACTTTTGCTGAGAAAGTTTCAAAATAATATTATGCTCAAGCCCTGGGGGGTGCGATTCCACCAGGCAGTACCTCTCTTTCGGGGAGGAGCTGTGGTCATTACTCAGTGCCTGAAATGTCCCCAAGAAGAGGAAGTCCTGAGGCAGCTTGGGCAATTTTTGCATGGTATTACCATTAGACTCACTTTAAACCTTGACCTTGTGTCAGATTTGATAGCGACATGGGTGTCCTGAAAAATGCACTTAATAAAAGAGGCTGTGAGAAAGTCATTTAAAAGGTAAAAAAAATGTGCAAAATTAGTAAATGTAATAGTTTTTAATAAGCTTAGCGGGTGGCGTGGGTCAAAAAAAATGCCCACTCCCTTCATTGGGCACTTGTGACTATTTCTTTTTACTCACTCTAGGGCTTTTTTTTTTGTTTTTTGTCTGTCTCCAATCCATCATGTCCTAACACTTCAATCTCCAGCTAAAGCCTTAAGTACATAGCATTTTATCCATAATACCTGTTGATCCTGTGGAATCTGTCTTGCATCGACCCCCCCCTCCCCCGTGGGACGGTCTTGGTGACAGCGTCGATTCTCTCATATGTTGTATCTTCTCATTTTCTCCCAGCTGGTGATTGCTAGTTGTTTTGATTCAAGATGGAAAGAACTTCAACACAGGGAATTTTAACTTAGCTAGTTTATTAACATTGACATATACATCTTCTATTTATCCAATGGGGCTGCTCTCCCTCCACTGAGGAGACATTTCAGACATGAAAGAAACAAGTCTACATTGTTTGATGGTTTAGACTTGACTCCCTGAAAACCCTTCCTCTTGCTATCATTCTCATGCTTGTTCAGCCAATTAAAATTGACTTCCCTCTTTTGTCTTCTATCTGACCCTTGAGGTCAACCTCAGGTTTATTTCGGACCTATATAAACACAAATAGAAATTCCGTGTAACAGGAAATACATTTTATTTACAAAAGCAAAATGGAGTAGAAAATATAAGTACTAATGACAGATCTGGCTGAAAATGGAGTTCTGTTGCCATATTTGGGCGGGAACTGCCCAGACTTCACTTTCCAGTCTTGATAGTTCAAAAGCGTTTCTGAGTCCCTGTTGGAGAAGAATTATTTTCCAGCTTCCAACTTCTCTCCATGTGGGATGTTGCAAGTCTCTCACTGCTCTATTGCTGCTACCATGGAAAGTGCTTCGACAAACTACATTCCTTGGTTCCACTAGGTCTATCTTCACGGCTAGGACTCCTCATGCCACTTTCCTCTGTATTTCATTGGTGAGAAGTAAGTTCCACTCAAACAGCTTCTGAATTCAGAACCACAGCCCTGGTGAACAGGCTCCCAAGAGGATGTTTCCCTAATCACTAAAATCTTAACTGTTAACTCTAGACTTGAACAGGTTATCTTCCCTTCTGCTCTATATAAACTCCCACTTAATGTATCCCTCTACCTCAAGTGGCCCCGGGCCTTATACAAGGTGAACCATTCTATAAAAAAAACTAAAAACTACAATAAAACTTTGTTATATCCCAGGTTCTTGGTATGAATGAAAATAAGACATATTTTTAACACATAATAAAATGAATGTTATTCATTTACTGCCTGAGAGCAGCAAAAAGGATTTTTGTTTGGATTTAAACCAAGAGTTCTACATGCATTTTGGCTTATCACCATTTTGAATTCAAAAAGTGTTGCGGTCCAACTAGCGGTAAGGGCCGTAACTAAATTGTATTTTGAGTTATCATCCTTTATTGGGGGGGTGTAATTTAATGCCCCCTAACACTTTCAAAATCGATTGAAGGAAGAAAATTTAAATTCAATTTGAAACATATCGGGCAATAAAAATCTAAAACAGACATAATCTGTAAATCTAAAAAAAGTTTGATAATAATAGTGGAAACATAGATTAATGATCCTGATAAAGTAATGCTTTCAAAAACTAAAATAATATTTTTGTTAATTCTCTCGTATTGTAACTCAATAACTCACATTAAATACATTAAAAATGTTTTTCTCAAATAAATGGAAAATTAATTGAACCCATAGAGGTGTTGATATGCCACTAAACAAAATCAGTCAAACAACCAACATAAACAAATTCTTTCATGACACTAATCCATATAATATCCTACAATTTCTAAAAGAAATCAAATTGTATTCAAAAATATAACTTCAATAAAACTACAACATAAAACACATATATCCCTACCTCTAGTAATTATGTCCACACAAATATGTATAGGCACAAAAGCTGAGTATCATCTACCATGTATTCAATTGTGAAAGCAGAATAATATAGATCCTATTTTTCTTATTTCAAAGCTCCCAAGAAAATTAAATATCAGCATTAAATGACCCATAAGGAGTTTATATGCTGTTAATCAAATCAAATCAAATCTGGGTAGTGTTGGGGGAGTTTACTAATGCAATTGAATATTATAATTAATTTTCTTCTGTCAGTTCCTTCTTTTAAAAAATATCTCCTCTCTATTAACTCACCTCACTTTTCTCATTTTTTTTCTGACAGATTTTTGGCTGACCGTTTTGTCGAAGGTATTTGCCCCCTTTGTAGCTTTGAGGATGCTCGTGGTGATCAATGTGATAAGTGTGGGAAACTCATAAATGCTGTGGAATTGGTAAAGCCTCGATGTAAGACGTGTTTGAATACACCCATTCTAAAGTCCTCACGGCATCTTTTCCTGGATTTACCTGAGGTTAGTTTTCTTTTGTTTGTATTTACAAGGCACGGGTTGAGATTTTGGAAATAATTTAGCACTTGTCAATGGACACTTTGTGTTTCTTTATAAGCGGCTTCCATATATTAGTGGATATGGGAGCCACTTAGAGAAATGACAGCAAATCTTCAGTAGCAGCAGCTGTAACAAAAGAGAAAAAGCTTCAGGGAGTGAAGTCAAACATGGCAAGTAACATCAGCAGGCAGGTTAGGTTTAAGACTCCAAGTTCTCTACTCGGGATTGTCCCGTGGAACAATAGCCACGTGGATTAAAGTTTGTCGGTTTGTGAATTTTGTGACTAAGGACTTTAGTTCAATTCCTGGACTGGGCAGTGTGTACCTGGACTTGGTGGAAATGGGTTGAGCAATAACTGAGATGAGATATCCCTAGATATCTAGAAATCTGTGGAATGAGAAGAGTCTAACATAGATTAAATAAAGGGTTCTGTTTACCTGATGAAGGCCAGAGGACACAATGGCTGAAACGTTGTGATAGCAACAACAGAGGTGAAGACAATCGTCTGAATGTAAATAGTGTAAACAATGATAACTCCTCATCCCAGAAATTCATTTCCTGTAGGTTACATAGACTGACATACTCCTGATGAAGGCTGGAGAATACAACAGCTGAAACATTGTGATAACAACAACAAAGATTAGGACAATAGTCCGCCTGTAAATAGTGTAAATAATAAGTTTCTGCTAGAAAATGTACAAACATGTGAACAACTCCTAGACATTTGGCCAGATGTCATCAAATTTGTGAACTTAATTAAACAGAATAATCTTCCCAGACCAACTCCCTCTTTGTGGTGCTGTCAAATGTGAATGCCGTTTTATTCCTAGTGAAACTGCAGATTTTTGTGTCTGTTTCGAAAGACATTGACCCATTTCTGATAAAATATCGGCGCAATAAACTGTTGCTTCCTTTCCTTTCAGATGATCTTTTTTACATGATAATGAAACTGTTAAGATTTGTAAAGAAAGAGCACCCTAAAAAGATAATTACATTTTCCAAACTGAATGAATTTGTAAGAGTTTTGTTAAACTGAAACATGCATGAAGATGCTGCCAAGATTGAGTGTAGATTTCTAGCAGATAGGACTATGCAAAATTTCTCCAGAAAGAAAATGTCAACAAGAGATCCGTTTGCATGCAGAATTGTAACAAAGACAATGTTTATCACCATCATTGAGAAACTTCTGGAAAATTCTTCCCTTAGATATCCTCTTGTAAGTTCACTTGTATGGCTGAATCCTGGCTCCATTTGGGGAAAAAGAATTTGTCACAGAAAACAGTCTAAAAATATGTCTTTCCTACATGATGGACAGAAAAGAAGTCAGCAAGTCTGTGATGACATCAACAGTCAGTACAAAGGACTGAAACTGGTGTGTGTGCATGACACACACACTCACACACATACATGCACTGTGAATGGTCATCAATTTCAAAACACAAACTCTGTGATTTATCTTTTAATAGTTTGACTGTTAAGTCCTGGAAAAGTCCTTGAATGTTTTTTACACAGATCTCTGGGAACCTTGGTTTAATTGAAACGATAAAAATGGAAATGTTGGAACCAAAAATAATAACAAAAAGATTGGTAACAAAAATTAACATTACCTTAAAGTGGTTATGTTGAAATGCAACATGATTAACAAAAAAGCATCTAAACTAGTTTATTGGTGCTCTCTTGTCAGAGCTCAATTTAGGATGAGAAATATACACTACAACTAAAATGAACACCCAAAACCAATATAACATTTACAGGCTAATTAACTTGAAGCCTATCAACCTCTCTTCTGCTCAGAGAAGGCTGGTAGGACTTAATGTAAATAGATTCTGATGCTTTTAAATGAAATTCAAAATTGACCTTCCCTAGTAATGTGAACATGTCTCGGATGTAAGATTTTGTACATTGCTGCTTTTTTAATCAAATGTTCATCTATTGACAAACCAGTTGCATTCACATCCCTATGCAAATTGCCCTCCTTTCTCTTGTAAATATTAATAGGTAATTATATATACACACACACACACACACACACAATTAGAAAAAAAAATCATTATGAGGGGAGGGGTGACCAGTTGATGAAAAACAATGTTTCAGAAAAATCTTCTGCTTTCTTTGACAATTATTTGAATTCTTACAGTTGTCATTTTCCAGGCAAAAATAGAATTCATGTCCAGTGTCTAAATTTGAGATAACACAAGCATTATCTCAGTTTCTTCATTTTAGTATTGAGTGCCTTGTTTATTGGCCATTAACAGACAGCAGATCTGAAGGTGCATCACAATAGTGGATACTGCCTTCCAGAAAGTAAGCAAAGTATTAAGATGTAGGAATATTTCCTTAAAAACAAAGATAGCAGTGCTGGACTGCTACAGAGACAGGAAGTTGTGGAGAGCCATAATTAACCATGACTTTATCCGAATGGATAGCAGAGCAGGGACAATGAGGGAGGGTAAAGAGGTAAATGTTACTTGCGCTACAAGAGACAGGAAATTGTGGAGATCCACAATTAACCATGACTTTATCTGAATGGATAGCAGAGTAGGGACAAGGAGGAGTGGTAAAGAGTCAAATATTACTTTTGAGCTACAGAGAATAGGAAGTTGTGGAGAGCCATGAAGAGAAATATCACATAAGTGATGATGAGTTCCATTCATTTTCAGTTGATATAATAATTTCCCAGCTTATAAATGATGATAATAATGACGATAAATGTTGTAACCTAGGGAAGGTTACGGAATAGAATGATCAAATGAAGTTTGGTAATAAATGATAATACTTAGGACAAGAACAACACATATAAGATTCACCAGTGGCACATAGAAGTAGTCAACTGCTAGAAGTGAGTCAAGTGAATTTCACAATGAATCTCCAACATACAGTATTTACTATTGTATTCATGTGAATGAGGACATACCCATTATCGTCCTTAGGTATGCTACAACAACAATAATGATGATGATAATGGTCAAGGAATGTTTTCAATCTGTATTTTATTCATTAGTTGATCTGTGGGTAGTAATGTAACACATGGCAGTAATGTCTTGAAGTTTTGTAAAAAGCTTTATATTTACTGTAGGTAGGTACAAATAAATACATTCAGAGATTTTTGTGAAGGTTTACTTCCTATTTTTAATCTTTTTCTATTTTTTTTTTTTCTATTTTCCAGTTGGAATCGAATCTCAGTACACACCTGGAGAAAGTGTTTCCAGATGGGATCTGGACAAATAATGCAAAAGTGATCACAAACTCATGGCTGAGAGACGGACTCAAACCTCGATGCATCAGCCGTGACCTTAAATGGGGGACACCTGTGCCTCTTGAAGGTTTTACAGACAAGGTTGGTACCTTTATCCATTCAATGAAACCCTAACAAAGATGCAGAAATGTTTTCTTCTCTAAATATTTTGTGTTATCAAATTGTTTTTTTAAAGATGAATTGAGCACACTTGAAAATGACAGAAAAATATCTATGTGAACTGTGGAGAGAACAATTTGTATAGTTTACTCGCAACTGTGGATAAATTGCGATAAATGACAGCCATGATGAAAATGAAATAAATATTAAAAAATCAATTAACAGTGCTTCATCAAAGACGTTCAGACAAATTAAAACTATTAATATTAGGTGTAAAAACAAGAAAAATGAAACAAAAGAAATACTTTTGGAAAATTGTTAATGTTTCATCAAAGAAATTCCAATAATATTAAAAAAAATTTATTTTGTTGTCAATTTTAGTTTTTCCAAATTTTCTTGTCTTCCTCAATCCACTTGTACCATTTTTCAGGTCTTTTATGTCTGGTTCGATGCTCCAATTGGTTACATGTCTATCACAGCCAATTATACAGACAAATGGGAGAATTGGTGGCGGAATCCTGAGCAGGTAGCCTTCTTTTTTCTTTTAAGCTTTCACTTGTTTATTTGTTACAAATTGTGAATCTGAATTTTCAGTTGTCACTCTTATGAATTGGTCTGTTGGCATTCCCTGAAAATTCTTTTTGGAGATATTGGAAAGAACTTTTGTGTTTTTTCTTTTCCTGAATCTGTGAGAAAGTTCAGGAATTCCCCTTTGCTTATCTTTTCAGGTTCCAGTTTTATTCAAGATTTGAACCTTGCACTCACGATGCCCGGAGGCAGTGTCTTTATAACAACATTGCCAGATCCACAAACATGTTTACAAAAATGGGGGAGTGGAAGCAGTTTTTTTTTTTTTTTTTAAAGCTAATCATGCCAAGCAAGGCGGGAGTGCCATTAGCATGCAAGGGGGGGGGGTTACAGAAGAGAGGGAGAGTAAAGAGGAGTGGTTTGGGAAAAGGATAAAGAGAAGGACATGGATCTGGATCAAGGCATCAGAAGATGTTGATTGACATTACATTTGAATATCTGAAGATTATAGCTATAAGGGAAGCAAGTGATAGGAAGGGAGTTCCACTGGGGAGGGGGAGTTGTGAGATAAGAAGCCGTTGGAGTAGAAGAGATGACTACGTTTAGCCATTTCGACAGTGAAAGGGTGTGGCCGAGATGCCAACCTAGTAGCATGCTTAAATTCATGTAGTTTGGGAACCAGTGAAAGTAGCTCATCAGACCAGTTGCCATGAAAATACCTGTAGAAAAGACAGAGGGAAGCCACAGCACGTCTGTGAGAAAGTGACTGTAGATGAGATGCCAGAGCAGGACCAAGCATGTCGCATATCTGCCTCTGGATTTTGTCGAGGACCTTGTGGTGAACAGCAAACCATATATGGCAGCAGTATTTCATGCAAGGATGAATGGTTGATTTGTAGATTTGAAGGATGGACTCGAGCGAGAAAAACCTTCTGGTGTGACACAGAGAACCAACTTTCCTTGCAATAGATGAAGCTATAGATTCAATGTAGTTGTTCCACTTCAGGTCAGGGGACAGTGTGAGAGCAAGCAGGCACAGAGAGGTGTTCTTGTGGAGTTGGGCATCAGCCATTCTGATAGGAAGCAGGGAGGTTTCTCTATGGTGGGTAAATGAGAGCAATTTCATTTTGGAGGCATTAAAGTTTACAAGTCATTTCCTGCCTCAGTCAACCACAGATGGAGGTACTTTTCAAGACCTACAGCCAAGTTAGTTTTGTCAGCGATGCCAAATTTACTATTGAGGTAGGAGAAAATAGTAGTGTTGTCTGCATAGATGCCAACTTGGGAAGATCGTTGAGGAAGATCAGAAACCGTGTAGGACTCAGGATAGAACTTTGGAGAAAACCAGCGTTCGTGTGAAAAGAACTGGAGGAGAACCTATTTAGGATGACCTTCATGTCATGGTTTGACAGGAATGATTTTATTGTCAAATAATCGTCCTGTAATGCGATATCCCTGAAGCTTATGCTGAAGGCCAGTGTACCAAACCATATCAAACGCTTTAGAGATATCTAGAGCTACGGCTCAACCTTCTCCGTTATTGTCAAGTGCTTGGTATATAAATTCAGTTATGGTCGTGAGCATATCAGCAGTGGACTGGGCAAAGTGGAAACCATATTGCTTGTCTGAGAGCAGATCATGGGATGTAAGGTGTTTGACCACTTTGGCATTGATTAAAGCCTCAAAGACTTTGGCAAAGGGTGGTAGGAGACTGATAGGATGATATAACAATAATTAGAAAAATGCATTTAAAATCTCTCATCTGAATACCTTCTCATAATTGGAAGGTCTTAATGCTTGCCATAATTTTTTATGGTAAACTAATATTAAAATAAATTTTATTATTTAGTTTTCTGTTATACCCTCCCCTCCCCCTCTGAATTACTACATATTAATTGTAAAAAAATATATTTAAATTCTCATGTGGAAACCTAAAAATAGCAACAATTTAATAATATGGTGTCATTTTTTGAACCCATGAGTAAACTGATGTAAGATTTTACTGGATATAAAATGGGATTGTCCTCATCTTTGTTGTTATTATTAAAATGTTTTGGCTGTTGTACCCACTGGCTTTCATCAGGTACTTGTTGATCTGGGAAACTTTCAGTAAATTTCAAACTAAATCCTTTATTAAATCTACAGTGATGGATTGTTCTCATTCCACTGTCTAAGGACATCTTGTTTAGTTCTTATTAACACTGTTCAGTTATTGCTTGCCCAGTTCCCACTTAATTCAAGTACACACTACCTGGCCCAGGGATTGAACTCACAATTACTGTGTCACCAAATTCATGAACTAACATTTTAGCAATAAAGATGAGGACAATGCAGATAATGATAACACTTTATTCCAGAAATTCAGACAGGATATTGCTTTCTGTTTTTATTAAGTCATGAACTAATTACTTTAGTATTAATTATTTACTAACAAAATCCCCATCTTATAAATATTTCTCTTAATAATAATTTAAAAATAATTCAGCAGATGATGTTATTTATAGGTACCTTCATGAGATTGCTAAAAACAGAGCATAGCAAAATTTTGTTTTTGTCAAGTTTGGCGTCTTTTTCATCCTGCTATGCTCTGTTTTTAGCGATCTCAACGAAGGTACCTATGTTATTTACGGTAACCAAATTTTTGGCAATTACTTTACTCAATTTCCGTCATTCACTACACTGCATCTGAAAAATGGCAATTCTACCTTTTGGCTAAGATCAAAGTATAGTATCTGTTCTTAGCTTAATCTGATTCTCTCTCTGTCCACTTCTATCTTCCTTTCTTTCTTTCATTTTCTTACTGAATTCAAGTAATGTCTTTTCCCCTCTTCCCATGCAGTCAAAACACAATAATCAATTACTTGTGAGGTATTGACAGGGTGTAGCGGTCGTGTAAACTAACACAGGGAGAGTTAAGCAAAATTATTATATAATTATTAGTACACTTGGTAATTTCACCGTTTTTGCTATTTGAATTTTTTGATGAATCATAATTCTTAATTTAATGATTTGAATAAGCTCCTTGACAGTTTCATGACTTTACAGATTTTTTTTTTCTTTTTTCAAATTACTGAGCTTCAATTCATGCAGTCATTGACATATTTGATTCTGGTAAAAAAATCTTTTTTTTTTTCCAGTTGTGAGAAGAACTTCTATCAAGACCAGGTATTAAAGCAGTAATAGTAGGCATATTAAAAGGATGTTAATAACAAAATGAGAAACAGTTCATAAGAAAAAAAGAGACTATTACTGATTATCACTTGAAGGATTTGAAATCTGTATATATTAAGTCCAACCAACCGCTTCTCTGTAATCCCTTAATGTTGCATTTTTTGTTTGCATATAACGTTAGTCAGGTTTTGTGTATTTTTTTAGTCACTATGCACATTTTTTTATCCTTGATTTTTTTTTGCTTGGATTAGAGAGGGCTTATAGACTGGTTTAGCTGTATTACCAATTTAAGGAAACATATTTTTTGGTACCCCTCTTTTTTGTTATGAATTGTTTTTTTGTCATTTCACTCCAAGCAAAATGATAAAACCACTAAACAGGCAAGTAGGTACTGGAAAGAGTTGTCTGAAAGAGAATAAGAAGACTTTAGTGAGGACAATAAAAGAACAGGATTCAGGAAGACAAAAGATGGCAATTTACACTGCATTTAAATATTTGAAGATTGTAGGTGGCAGAGAAGCAAGAAACTGGAAGAGTTCCACGGGCAAGAAGTGTAAGAGAAGAAAGTATTAGAATAGAACTTACAGTTACTTGTAGCTAATTCAACAATAAAATGATGAGACCTAATTGCCAATCTAGTAGTCTTCTTAAATTCATGTGGTTGAGGTACCAAGGAGAAAAGCTCATGAGAACAAATGTTTATTGAAAAGATGAGAAGCCACATCATGATGGAGGGAAAGGCACAGAGTTTGAGATGATAGGTCATGTCTGTTTATTTTGCAGATCCTTCTTTGGATTTTGTTGAGAATCTTGAGATATATAGCAGGAGCACCAGACCAGATATAGCAGCAATATTCAATACACGGACGAATGGTAGATTTATAAATGTGCAAGATGGATTCCAATGGGAAAAATTGCTTGGCACGACAGTGAGCCAACTCTCTGAGTTACAAATCTAGCAATTGATTCAATATAATCATTTCACTTCATGTCAGCAGAAAATGTTTGCCCCGGGGGGTCGGAAGGAGTCACTCTCCTGGAGATTAGCATCAGCCATGTTGAGCAAAGTCAAAAAATGTTTCTCTGTGATGATTAAATAAAAGTAGTTTTATTTAAAATTAACATGCCATTCCTTGCCCCAATTAACAACTGATTAGTGATCATTTTCAATAGCAGTTGCCAATGATAAATGGCCTTTTAATATACCTGCTTTTATTGCTCGAATAAAATTTGATGACGCATGTTGTGAACGTGGAAAGCCTGTGTACGTTCGTAAAGAAACAAAATTTCTCATTTTTAGTTAAAGAACATGAATCAAAAACAATGACTAAACATTATCTGCTTATTTCTTTGATATCAATGAACAAATTTCTTTGCAATAAATTTAATAATTCTTTTTTCATGACTATTTGTTATTTTTTTAATTATTGTTTTTTCAGGTGAAAATGTATAACTTTTTGGGTAAAGATAATGTTCCATTCCATAGTGTGATCTTTCCATGTACATTACTTGGCACAAAAGAAAACTACACAGTTGTTGATAGCGTTGTGGCCACAGGTAAGTGCCCTGCCTTTACCAGAGAACCTGAAATTTTCTTTTTTTTTTTTTTTTTGTTCTTTCATCCTTAAAAAAAGAAAAAAAAAATTCTGTGGCCACAGGTAAGTGCCCTGCCTTTACCGGAGAACCTGAAATTTTCTATTTTTTTTTTTTTTTTTTTTTTGTTCTTTCATCCTTAAAAAAAGAAAAAAAAAATTCTAGTTTTTCAGCTGAATTTTCTTTTCTTTCTAGAATACCTGAATTATGAAGATGGTAAATTCTCCAAGAGTCGAGGAATTGGCGTGTTTGGAGACAATGCCAAAGAAACAGGAATTCCTGCTGATATCTTCAGATTTTACCTTTTATATGTTCGTCCCGAATCGCAAGTAAGAAATTATTTATTCTCTCTCAACTAGATATTCACAGTGAATCAGTTAAATCAAATATGACAGATGATTTTACATCTGGTGTAAATGAAGCCATTTTGTGGTTTTTATTTTTCAATAGTGATACTGAATATAGCAGCCACTATTTTGTTTGCACTACTTGGGTATGTATGATAGACCTGTTATGAAATAAGATATCTACTTAACTGGTGATGGAATAGTGCAAAAAGAATGTGTTTCATACTTTTTCCAAATATCTTAAAGGGAACAGAAATTTGACGTCACAATTTCTTTTCTTGGATGAATAACTAATATATATTGTGTATTTAGGCAGCAATCCCTCATTTATACATGTTTCATTAAAGGCAACAGACAAAGTACTGCAATTAAGCTTTTTATTTAATTTTTTTCATGTTCGAACAAGTGTTCTGTTTTCTGGACACAGTGTGTGTAGAAACTGTTCAGATGTTCTATAATTCTGAGCACTTTCGGCTCTACTTATAACCATTATCATCACTTAGAAATATCATAAATTAATTATCTACTACAAAAAATTTAAAACTGCTAACCTTGTCCTCAAAAATAAAAACACCCACAAAATCAAGTGATAACAATGTGTTATTTAACATGCAGGAATTGCCAGAATGAATATATTAGAGAAACCTCAAGAAATTTAAACAAGAGACTGTATGAACACAAAAGGGGCATTTTTTAGAAAACCATACACAAAACGCATTGGTTGTTTACCATAACAAAATGTACAACAGTTTTGACATAGGGAATGCTATTTTGATTAAAAAAGAAAATAATTGACTGAGATGAAAAATGTCTGGAAATGGCCTTGATCGCTAGTCCAACCAGAACAAATTTGTGTCCAGGCTTTTCCAATATATCACCATTCTATATTGTCACAGTGTGGGAAAGTCAGAGACAAAGGTGAGGGAAAGAAAAACAATACAGATGATTTTGGCTAGATTAAGAAAAAAAAAAAATTCTCTCAAAAATTTTGAAACAACCTGCATCTCTTGTTTTGTGTACCTGTGTAGACGTGGCAATGTCAACAAAGCCCAGTCCAATGAAATTATTTTAATATATTTTTATGTTTATACATTATTTTTGTAGATAAAAATATTTAAGTAAATGCTCTGTTTATAATAAACAGTATTAATTTCATAATATCTGATGTCATTTGTTTATGTTAAGATACACTTCGAACAGATATGAACATCTGAAAGAAATCATGGGAAATTTGTTGATTAAAAACAGTAATTTAACCTTACTAAAACACACTTCCTCTGTAACTAAATGGTATAGCACGTCGGGCTATATAATGGTTCCAATAGGATACAGGTTTGATTGTTGTTGAAGGGCACATTTTCTATGGAATTTCTCTGACATTCAGGCCAGTAAATGTTGTTAATACTGTTATAAACATAGCATTTACTTAAATATTTGTATGTATAAAATAACACATAAACAGAAAATATATTAAATATATATATATATATATATATATATATATATATATATATATATATATATATATATATATATATATATATATGACATGCTTTGATCTTTTCGACCACAGAGTGCGTCAATGACCAAGCAAAGTTTAAGGGTACTATTCAACTTTGCTTAGTGTTGTAGAGTAGTTTTCACAGTGGAGGCTTGTATTTCAATAAGTCGGTCCTAAAAGGGTCCGACATACAAAACATTAGGAACTTAAAAATAATAGTTAATGACGCAGCAATCTAGTTGGGTTGGTTGATACTTCAATGTCCGACATCAACGGACTCACTCCACTCCACTGAGCTCAACTGGCAACCACTACTACTACTTATTATGTGTGGGAGAGTCTATTACAATAGAATAGGTAATGTTCTGGTATAACACTTAGTCATCAACAACATTCATGCAGATTATGAGAATATGTAGGATAGATAATGGTTGACCCTAGGCTTGAAGAGGTTAAGATTGTAGAGATTGGGGAAACATTCTTTTGGGAGTCTGTTCCATAAAGAAGTAGTTTTTGGGAAGAATCTGTCTAAATGGGACTTCCTGCTAGAATATAAAGAGAAGGATGTTGATTTGATCCTGTCTCTGTTGGCAGTGGCAGATCCTATCTCTGTTTCTTTTTTTCTTATTAGTGAAAATAATAACAGTCCGAGATCAAGAAGAATCAACTGGAATCGAACCTGCATTCACTTTTATCATGAGGAAACTTGCTCTTCTATCAAAAGTGTGCCATAACCAATTTGGCAAGGGAAAACCCTTGGCTATAGGCGTAATTTCCCTGTGGGTAAAATGAGGATATTGGTTTGATCCCTCTTGGTGGCACACTTTTCTTTAGTTGGTATTGATTTACAACTAATCTGAACTTTTTGTACCTGCTGAAGATAACATTTACGGTAATAAGAGATCATGTCAAATACGATCTTACATTTAAAATACATACATACATACATATATATATATCTCTCTCTCTCTCTCTCTCTCACTCACTCACTCACTCACTCACTCACACACACACACACACAGGGTTACACAAAAATACCCTGAAATACTAAAGAGTAAATTTATTCAATAAAATTGGCATTAGCTTCAACCACAGACTGCAGACAGTTTCTAAGTTGTTAAATGTTGCTATAATCCTTGCCTTCAGTTCATCTTTGGTGTTACAAGGAGTTTTGTTGATATCACTAAACTGCACCCCACACAATTGCAGAGCTTGCAGTCTGGAGAGTTAGGTGGCCAGATGTGATTGCAGAAATTGTCTGTGGCGTGGTGCAGAGTCCTGTTGCCAGACATAGGGTCTTCCAGCAGCCACCCTTTTGACCCAGGGCAGCACTACTTTCTCAAAGCATTTGATGTAAGCCTCCATGTTGAGTCTGAGGCCCTCACTAACAAATTTTAGGAGTTCTTTTTCTTATCTGAACGATCAAAGTGCTGTACCTTCATAATCACCATTAGACTCATCCAACTCTTTTCAAATCCTTTGCACTGTCCTCAGATTGATACCCAAAATAACATTCTGAAATGCTCATCTTGGATCTTCTGGCACAAATGCCAAGTAGTACAGCAGGCCATTTCCAAATTTTGGGCTGAGTGAATTGCATCATGGTGCTCTTTTTCTCACAGATGGTGCCCAACTGACACTTATATACTGTGTAGTCAACAAAATTATAAACAACATACTTGTGTGAAATTAAAAATATAAAATGGCAACAATTTACCCATTGAATTCTGTCCTTTTTTCTTTTTTTTTTTTATGAAATGACAATTATTAGTGTCTATAAAATTTACTCTTTCAGTGAGTTCAAAAAACGAAAAACCTTTCATAATTTTTTTTCTATAAAGCTTAATTAAAAAAATAGTCTGAAGAAGAACTGAAAATCTTAGTTTTAAATTTTTTATTTTTTAGGACACTGCATTTGCGTGGGACGATTTCCAATTGAAAAACAACAGTGAATTATTGAATAATATTGGAAACTTTATTAACAGGTAGCTTTTCTTTTCTTTTTTCTACATTTGAGATTTGTCTTTTTTTTCTGTTTTGATTGATTTATTTTTAAACTTAATTTTTTAATTATTACTGCATTTTACACTTTTTATTTATTAATCAAATAACTTCATGATATGAATGCATTTTGTAATCCATTGTTGGGACTTTCTTCATGTGCTGCAATCTGAGTAGCAGTAGTGAGTGTGTCTAGGACAAGATAACCTGACGAAGCCCATCCCTCTTCTGTGTGGTTCTTTTAATTCAGTTTTGTCCTTTTCCTAAACATGTTTATTTATCAAAGCAAAATTACTTTTTCTGTCCTAATTCAACTATAGCTGTGAAAAGAAGAACAAAAAAAATTGATTCATTGCTCTCATCTAGAGTACGAACTTTCCTTGATTTTATTTTCAGTTAACCATTACATTAACAGCATTGCCATAAAATTAATTCAGTGTCTCTTAAAATCTTATATAGCAATAAATAATTTTTAATTAAATTCTATTTAGTTTTATAAAATGTATATTTTTATTTTCTACTCAACATTTTTTTGTGACTTTGGCTGTCATCTTTGGATGCAATTTCATTTGTCTAACCATGCCTCATTCATCTTTTGGGCCTGGATCAAGACTGCTGAACAATGATTCAGCTTTTGGACTTGGATCAAGAATGCTGAACACAATCATGTCAAATGGGAAGGCTCTAGAATGGATCAGCCAAAATGTTGTAAGAGTAACAAAGAGTTTAGTCATCTGATCAATTCCTACTTAGATACATTTTGATGCTAATAATTTTTCTGTAAGATCTGAATTTATGAAAACCATATGGGCCTCTTAATGTTTTGACCTTGTGCCAGATTAGTCTGAACTAAAAAAAATATTTAAATAGTGTATATCAGAGCAGTTTAGGTTCACCAGCAAAATTTGTCTTTGAGCACCTAATTAATAAGTCCTTATGCCAGACTCATTTGCTTTTACTTATAAAACCTGTATTCTGAAAATGGTTAATGTTGTCATGCTTTCTTCTTCCAATGTTGTGATCTTTTTCTTTGATTTATTCTGCAAGAGTTTATGGCTGATTCCTTTTCTTTTCCTTTTTTGGTAGAGCCTTGACATTTGTGAGTAACAGCTTTGAACAAACAATTCAACCAATGAAACTTGAGAAAGGAGACGAAATCCTTATTGCCCAAGTCAATAAACAACTACATTGTTATATTAACAACATGGAAAATGCCAAGTCAGTATTTTTCTTTCTTTTTTTCCTCTTTTTTCTTTCCTCTCTTTTTTTTCCTCTCTTTTTTTCCTCTATTTTCCTCTCTTTTTTCTTTCCTCTCTTTTTCTTTCCTCTCTTTTTTCCTCTCTTTTTCCTCTTTTTTCCTCTCTTTCTTTCCTCTCTTTTTTTCCTCTCTTTATTTCTTTCCTCTCTTTATTTCTTTCCTCTCTTTATTTCTTTCCTCTCTTTATTTCTTTCCTCTCTTTATTTCTTTCCTCTCTTTATTTCTTTCCTCTCTTTATTTCTTTCCTCTCTTTTTTCCTCTCTTTTCTTTCCTCTCTTTTTTCCTCTCTTTTTTCTTTCCTCTCTTTTTTCCTCTCTTTTTTCCACTTTTCCTCTCTTTTTTCTTTCCTCTCTTTTTTCTTTCCTCTCTTTTCTTTCCTCTCTTTTTTCTTTCCTCTCTTTTTTCTTTCCTCTCTTTTTTCTTTCCTCTCTTTTTTCTTTCCTCTCTTTTTCTTTCCTCTCTTTTTTCTTTCCTCTCTTTTTTCTTTCCTCTCTTTTTTCTTTCCTCTCTTTCTTTTTTCCTCTTTTTTCCTCTCTTTTTTCCTCTTTTTTTCCCTCTTTTTTCCTCTTTTTTCTTTCCTCTCTTTTTTCTTTCCTCTCTTTCTTTCCTCTCTTTCTTTCCTCTCTTTTTTCCTCTCTTTATTTCCTCTTTTTTCCTCTCCTCTCTTTTTTCCTCTTTTTTCTTTCCTCTCTTTTTTCTTTCCTCTTTTCTTTCCTCTCTTTTTTCTTTCCTCTCTTTTTTTTCCTCTCTTTTTTTTCCTCTCTTTTTTTTCCTCTCTTTTTTTTCCTCTTTTTTCCCTTCTTTTTTTTCCTCTTTTTTTTCCTCTCTTTTCTTTCCTCTTTTTCCTCTCTTTTTTTTCCTCTCTTTTTTTTCCTCTCTTTTTTCCTCTCTTTTTTTCCTCTCTTTTTTTCTCTTTTTTCCTCTTTTTTTTCCTCTCTTTTTTTCCTCTCTTTTTTCCTCTCTTTTTTTCCTCTTTTTTTCCTCTTTTTTTTTCCTCCTTTTTTTTCTTTTTCCTCTTTTTTTCCTCTTTTTTTCCCTCTTTTTTTTCCTCTTTTTTTTTTCCTCTCTTTTTTTCCTCTCTTTTTCTTTCCTCTTTTTTTTTTCCTTTTTTTTTTCCTCTTTTTTTTTCCTCTCTTTTTTTTTTTCCTCTCTTTTTTTTTTCCTCTCTTTTTTTTTTCCTCTCTTTTGACAATTTGAACAGACATATAAAACAAAAAAAAAAACAAACTTTTTCTTTTTAATTTTGTTGTCTTTATATTGCCCTGTAGATATGCACTAATTGAACTTCAAAACATTCTCACTATCAGGTTTTTCTCTTTCTCCTTCCACTGGCCATTTTAATATTTAATTTCTTGGCTGTCAAATAACAATATAAAACATTTTATTCAATGTTGATTGGCTGAAATTTATTTTTCCCATGATACAACACTACCTGAATATGTATCCATTTCCTTTTCACTTGAGATGTTTATCTTTTTTTAAACAGAATGCGTGATTCCATCCGTAACCTGCTGAGTATTTCACGTCTGGGAAATCAATACATGCAATCGAATAAGCCTTGGGTGTTAGTCAAGGGTACCCCAGAAGAGAAGTAAGTTGCGTGCTCTTTTTTGTTCCTTTTTTTGGTTTCTTTTTTTTTCTCTCTCTCTCTCTATCTTTTTTTTTCTCTCTCTCTCTCTCTCTATCTTTTTTTTCTCTCTCTCGCCCTCTCTCTTCTCTGTATACAGCCTTCTATCCATAATACCAGTGCATACATGTATGGATGTCATGCGTAACACCAAACCCAGTCAGGAATGTCTAACCCCCTCAGCTGAATACAGCCGCTTTTTAAGATCACTGGTGAAAAAATGCTTTGAGCAAGTGAAGCCTGAGTGTCTTGGCAAAGATTGTCTTTTTTTGAACATTGTAGACTGACACTAGAGAATCACAAATAACTGTAATAAATAACAAAAATCACATCACTTGAGGGCTAACAACTAAAATGGACAGTACATGTAATCCTAAGAGATATTGATGACATTATGTTGATATTCTACATGACTTTCAATAAAAGGTTAGGAAGGACCCCCCCCCTGACAAGTGCAATAACAGCTAATTGTTTTAAGTGAAAGATTTGATAAATTTCAACCAAAAACAGTACTGGCTGCTTGGTCAATGAATGTCAAGTGTTTCCTTGTAGGGAAACCGCTAATATTAACATTACCATATATATATATATATATATATATATATATATATATATAGCACCTGGAGTGTTGGTGTTAATAAAACAGTCCTCAATGTAATATAACAGAGCTATTAAGTATATATTAATAAATATACATATTATTCCTCACTGCTAGCATGACTCAGAGTTTCATGCACAATGCAATTTTCAGATGCTGATTGTAGACTGACTTTTATGTAATTTAAATTTTAATGAAAAAAAATCAGTCCATACAATACAGGGATTACAGTTTTAATTTAAAAGTATATTTAGCATTTAAAATAAATGGGATTTTTATTATATATACAAAAAAAAAATTATAGTTGTGAATATTAATTTTATATGAAGCATAAAGGGAGATTACTGAGTTATATGGCAATTTTTTTTATAAAATTTTAAATAAAACCTAATAAAGAGAAAAATTATAATTTAAATTGAAAATTAATCTGGATCAATGAATTTCAACAGATATTCATTTTTATGCCTACATGTAACCATCAATTCATTTCTCTTGTTTAATAAGCTAGGGTTATTTAAATGTTTTAAAATAACTAATTTTTCAATAAGGCATAAATTACATTTCTCGCCTTTCCCATTAAAAGATTTGGCTTTTGCTACAATATCCCATGTAATAATGGATGTATTACCATCATTCTTTAATTGCCAAAAATGTTTGGAGAGAGCAATGCTGTTCATGTCTCTTACATTGCCTAAAGTCATTTGATGATGGTAGAAACATAATTTCCAAGGTTTCTCAGTGGAACCAAAATAAAATTTGACATTGTTATCTGAATCTATACTAGCACGGTATACAATATTATCAGTCATATGTTGGCTGTTTAAAGGACAGATCGTATTTTTTCAGCGGTAGCATTTACTTTTTAAAAAATTAACGTTGTCTTTGTTGGAAATATATTTAACATACTGTTATGTTGAGATGTTAATTTATCAATGTTATTAACACAGCGATAACTGATCTTTATGCTATTTTTTAAAAAATCTTTTTTAGTGTTAAAATGCTTATGAATTTAGGAAAATTCTTTCAATATTCATTTGGACATTATAAATAAAAGGGAGGTTAAACCATATAATATTACGATGTCTCCGTTTATTTTTACCTATTTTTAAAAAATTTTTTTTCTAAATAGTCAAAATTTACTTTATGGTTGCTTAGTTCTAATGATTTTATTAAATTTTTAATTTTATCAAATATTTCCTTATTTCTGGCATTAGTAGTTAATCTAATTTGGACTGATTTATGTAAATTATGGAGAATATTAATATGATACTTGTTTGAATCTTTAATTATGTATCTATGGTTATATAGATCTTCGGTATCTGGTTTATAATAATCATTATTCAAGTACAAAGTCACATCGAGATCACTTTAATATTGGTGGTTATGGTTATATTTAGCTCATTATCTTTGTCATACAGTTCTCTCTCTCTCTGTGTGTGTGTGTGTATATATATATATATATATATATATATATATATATATATATATATGTGTTTTTTTATCTAGTCCTTTATATTCTCATTTAAGTTTTATTAACATTTGTTCTTCTCTACTTTATGATGTCACTTTATATTTTTTTAATTGCACTTATGACAAAATGCAATAAAACAAGTAATAATACAAACAATAATACCATTCTACTTTTCAGATTAGTACAGCATAACCTAATCAATATCACAGGCAAATTATATTAAGACCTAGAAGCCATTCCTCTGCTCAACTCAAAACAATGTACATTGTCTTTACAGGCAATCCTTTATAAACTGAAAAAGTGGCTTTTAGGTCTGAATGTAATTTCCAATAATCTGGAAATTATAATTGTACTACAAGTTTTAGTCCAGTGAATTATTATTTTATTACTAGCTTTATTGTATTTTATGATTTTTTAAAGTTTTTTTTTTTTACAATGTCACTTAAAAGCTAAATACTGGTTAAAGCAATTTCTCTCTTTATTGGCCTCCTTAAGGAAATGGACTGATGATCACCTATAGTGTGAAACTAATAACTGCCATACAATATTTAATTTTTTATGTCTCCACTGTTTATGTCCACATGTACTCTATAATGCATATTCAGTAAACTTCTGTAATTGTAACACATTTTAACCTTTAGCACTCTGCATTATTAATATTAGTTCCCTTTTTAAGACCTCTCAATTGAAATGTCCTTATTGTTAATTTCACTTAAAGCTGTTTCCTGTTGCCACAGCAGGATATGACAACACCACTATAAAATTCAAACAAATTTAAATTCATGTATCAGTCACCTTCAGTGACAGAATAAACTTTTTGTACAGAAAATGATGTCACATACAGAGTGATAAAGGTTAAACAATTATATTTTGACAGTTGCCAAAAATTTTCCTCTAGTTTCATTTGTAGATATGTTTCCTAGAATTCTAAATTTGACGTACATGTTTCAGGAGTCGTGCTGGCACCGTAGTTAGCCTTTCTGCCAACATTGCTGCTCTCTTGTCTGTTCTGCTTGAACCTTTTATGCCAACCACCAGCAGAATGATCAAAACTCAACTCAACATAGCTGATGAAACCTTTGTGATCCTTGACAACATTGCTACCTATGTAAAACCGGGACATAAAATTGGGAAAGTAAGTTCACTTCAAGATTTCTTGTCATTTTAAATTTTATATGAAATACGTGTGCATCTATTTTGGAATATTTCTGCATAATGTTCTTTAGATTAGGAATTGCAGAAGGACACGAAAGCAAAAAAAAAAACAAAAATACTTTTTAAAAAGAAATTGAAATTATAAATACAATAATTGTTTGATGAAAAAAATGTTTAATTCAGCCATAAAAGTAGGTACCTCCACAAGATCACTAAAAAATTAGCATATTGTGATGAAAACCTGCTCAAAAGCATAAGGAAAACTTAGTTTTATTGTTAAAATCTTTCTGGTATTATTAAGAGGAAGGATCAAAGTATTTTTTTGATTATTTAATTAAATTTTTGACTTCTGTTTGAAACATTCAAAATTTTGATTTAAAAAAACAAAAAAAAAAAACTTGTTTTTCTTGTGTCAGCGGTTGTACTAACTTTTAGCATAGCAAATTTTCACTGCTGTTTTTGCAGTGACAAACATGTTAATTTAGAAATTCTTGCAAAAATCAAATAATTTTTGGAGTTTAATGAAATTTTTAGAACTTATTCACAAATAAATGAAATTATTTTTATTAGAAAATCTTCATAAATTTTTTTTTTTTTTTTTCATGCACTTCTCCCCTTACTTAAATTTATGAAAGCTGGAGAAATTCATTGGGATAGTTTTTAGTGACTATATTAATTAAAAGTAGAATTGTTTCAAGAATTTAAATCAATGATTTTATTTTGTAAAATCAGACCCAGCCTTAAGAAAAATCTGTTCTGGGTCAAAAAATAAAAAAACACAATAAAACTAAGACCTTATTTAATTTGAGAAGCTTTTAATCTGAAGACCCACAACTATTTTTAAAAGAATTTTGATTTGTTTATATATATATATATATATGTGTGTGTATCGATGCAGAATTTCTGAGATATGGATGTACAAACTGATAAATCTATTAATAAATGGTCATGTGTTTTAAGGATTGTCCTCCCTTATAAGACAAAAAAAATAACAAAACCTTAATGAAAATTGTCATCTGCTACACAATAGTTAATTATGATCACGTTCAGTGGTCAATTCGTCATCAACAAATCAATTAACAAGTGAGAAAAACAATGCTATAAACAGGTAATATTTGTTTCAAATCAGATTAACTTTAAATTTGCTAATTTTCCTCAAATAACATTTCAGAAAAATATAATTTGTGGAGGTACCTACATAAAAGTACCATAGCACCCAGAAGAAATTTGTCTTTCTCTCTCTACCACCCGTAAGATCTCCAGTCTGCCACTTGTGCCCTCCCCTCTCCCAGAATGCAATTTCACATTCTTTGTCTTCTTCATCCTTTTTACCTTTGGGGGTCCAGTTGTTGTTTGGGTGTGGTCAATGAAGTTCTATCTTCTTCACCATACCATGACACTAAAGGGTTTTACGATTACATGCTCACTGGAGCAGTTCCACCATCTTTACATAGTCTTGCCATCTAATTTTGAAGATTCTACTTAATCCCTTCTTCTCAAATTGGTCAATAAGCTTGTGTCACCCTGCCGAGAAATAATATAAAACAGCATTTGTGCCTAGGATCAAAGTGTTGCATCTGTGCACATTGTGAAAAGAAATAAGCCTATATTGATATATTTATTTGCAAATAAAACTTTAAAAGTTATTTTTTCCAATTTTATTTCCAGCCAAGTCCGCTCTTTCAAAAACTGGAAACGTCTTTAATTCAAGAACTGAAAAAAAAATTCATGTCTGAGACTATCAAGGTATGTCATTAAATTTTTTTTTTTTTTTTGATGTCTTTGTGGACAGTGAGACCACAGTTGTCGACATGCTGTCTGTTTCTGATTTTGTTTTCCCTAAAAAGTAGGTTTTTCATTGGATGGAATCACTAGACCCATGGCCAACTGGTTTTCAGAGTTGTCCTTCAGCCTTGATGGGCAACCACTCTAGAAGAAGAGCCTAACACTATTATTTAATCCATAGCTGGGTGGAGAAGAGATAGATTAGTACTTTTGCCAAAGGTATTTGCATGAAAGTGAATTTAACTAACTTGACTGAAATTTGAATTGTTCACTGTTTTCTTGTTCTGAGCCACACATTATGCTCCAACCACACACCGACATCAAACTGCTCTCTTTCAATCGCGTCTGAAAGAAACCTTTTTTGCCTTCTATCAACATGGCTGATGCTAACCTCCAGGTGAGTGACTTGATGCATTTTCATGGGCTAACATTTTCCACTGACATTAAAAGCAGAAAGATTATATTAAATCAATTGCTACATCTGCTGCTAGGAAAGTTGGTTCACTGTGTCGTGCCAGACAGCTTTTATCTCTAGAATCTCTCGTACATGTTTATAAATCTACCATTTGTCCATGCATTGAATATCTGGTTTGGTGCTTCTGCTATATATTTAGAGATTTTTGATAAAATCCGAAGAAGAATCTGCAATGTTATTTGTCCTGACCTGGCATCTTGGCTTCAGTCACTTTCCCACCACCATAAATTTGCTTCCCTGTGCCTTTTGTATAAATACTTTGATGGTAATTGCTCTGATGAACTTTTCTCTATGGTACCTAGATTTTATGAATTTAAGTGCAGTACTAGATTGGCAGCTAGGTCTCATCATTTTACAGTTGAAATGGCTAGATGCAACTGTAACTTCTATGCTAACAGTTACTTCTATCACACTTCTCGCTGGTGGAACTCTCTTAAGGCTTCTTGTTTTCCTGTCAAATTCATTATACATCCTGAATCTGTTTACTTGCGATAGAATTTGGTGTTGGGCTTCTTCCAGTTCACTTGCTGTTACTAAGTTGTCGGTCATCTCATCTGAGCTGAGGGTGGTTGTTGCTTTTGTTTGATTGACAAGAGGTCATCAGTGGTGGCGACTGACTTTGAAATGTCCAAGGTTTTCTTTTGGCTTTTGAGAGTGAAATGACATTGCTGCCATCATTTTGCAATCAAAGACTGCTCGTGATCATGATGGAAGTGACCCTGCAGTCTGCAAGCAGGAGATGAGAAGACAATAGACGACAGTTTCTTCTTCTTCTTCCTGTGATGTCTTGTTTTCCTCCGTGTGAGAAAAAGCAAAAAGACACAAAGACAGTGAGATGTCTATCAAGTGAGAAGATATGCAATTTTCTGCCTCTCAACTGGACAGGATCCTGAGACAAGGCATCTCTCGAGACAACAAATTTTTATTTGAGGTGTTTATGCTCACTGAGTCCTGCAATTCACATCAGTGAATTCTGCAATAAAAAATAAAATAATCTAGCAAGTCCAAAGGAAACAAATAAGTGGGAGGGAGGCTTAGCAAAGGGAGAAAATTAAGGACCACAGGTAATCATGACTCTCCACAACTTCCTATCCTATTTGTTCTGAAGGTACACAGCACATAGAAGTTATTTCAGGTGTAAAAGCAAACATTTCTTTGAATTTCCTAAGCTGATTACAAGCACCAAAATTACCATAAACTGAAAAAATATGTTACTCCCAGTGAAATGAAGAGCTTTTGAAATAGACCTCCAGTTTGGTCTCTTAGTTGCACCATGAGTAGGCCTGTAGTATAGAATGTCATGAGAATTTGCGTCCTTTGCTATCCGTCCGATCAAAAAAAAGTTGCTGGCTTGGGTTGTTCTATGTTTGGTCGTCTGTTTTGGAACTTAAGCCAATTTTTCAACAATTTTTGACATAACTGGAATGCACAAATGCAGTATTTGTCTTAGAGAATGAAAACTACACAATTCTTTGGGACACAGATTCAAATGGAACATTCAAGTCATAAGGGGAGTTGTGAACAAAGATGAAAAACAAACAAAAACACGTTAGAATTTGTTGGTCGAACAAAACCGAATAAAATGAAAAGAATGTGAAAAACTGGGAAATGAAAATGATAGTTGTGCCAATTATTGTTGGAGTACTGGGAATGATCCTGAAAAATCTGATAACCTGAAAATCTAAGAAAGAATCATTAAAAAAAAAATTTTTTTTTCCCTCTGATCCTTATTTTTAAAAAATTTTTTCCCCTCCCAGGAAAAGTCGAAGTCACCACCGCCAACTTCCTCACCCCAAGTTGGATCTTCAGATGTTGAAATAGAAAAACTCAACCAAATGGTAACAGAACAGGTATTTGTGATTTTTTTTTTTTTTTAAATCCCTCTTTTTGTTTTGTCCTTGTACATTGAATCGTATTAGTTGCAGACATTTAAATTTTTATTACTTCAAACATTATTTTTAATAGATGCTCATATTTGAGTAGACGTTCTGTTTAGTACTCACTAAAAATAACATAATGAAGTAATAAGAATGTCATATTAAAAAAATAAAATCCATTAATTCTTTAGACATTTAGATGCAATGATGAATAATTTAATCGCTGACATTTGCTCAAAGGTAAAGTGTCTTTGTACACTTGATCAGAGTAAAAAGTTTGGACAAACATGGATAAATGTGCCTGCAATAAGATGTAGTGTTCAAAAGATCGTTTTTCCCATGACTCATTTCTTTTTTTAACTCCCTTCAATCTTCGGCAATGTTTATTGTTTTAAAAAGTGGTGATTAGAATAAAACAAACATGATAAAATTGAATTTATACATTTTTTTCTGTTCTTGAGAATTTACAACAAAAATATTAAACACAATTAGATTATTTACAAGAACAATTTTATATTTACAACATTCTAAAAACTAATATAATTAGAACTAATGCAATATTTATCATTTTGTTGAAGAAAGTTATTAAGAAAGAAAAAAAAACACTATTAGTTTATTTACACTATTTATTTATATTATTGAAATGGTTGGCAAAATATTGGCTAATTTCCAATTGATTCAAACTTTATAAAATGGTAAATAAGAATTTCCTTATTGTTGGTCCATATATTTTAATAATTTAGTAAATGTTTATAAATTTATGAATAAGAAATTGTTTTCATATTTATTTCTTTATAAATTAGTAAATGATAAATATTGCATTTTATTAGTTTTTTGAATATTGTAAATATGAAATTTATTCTTGTAAATAGGAAAACTAATAAATAAAATAGTGTTTAATATTTTTGTTGTAAATTCTCAAAAACAAAAAAAAAAAAAAGTATAAGTTCACTTTTGTCATATATTTAAGTTTCATTCCAATTTTAAAACAATAAATGTTACCAAAGAATGAAGGACATTAAAATAAAAGACAGAAAAAAACCTCTCATTTTGGCATTTTGCCTTATTGTAAGCATTTTAATGCTTACAATAATGCATGTTTGCCAAAGTTTGATTTGTATAAAAATGGAAGAATGCATTTAGTCATATTTAAAGCAAAATTATATTTGATGGCATTTTTACCTGGAGAGCTGTATGTGGATCCTGGCAGGTTTTGACAATCATTCATTTTTTTAATTCTTATTTTTTCAATAATAGGTTTCTTGAGCTATATATTGTGTTGACTTTTTCAGGGATTAAAAGTACGAGAACTCAAAATGAACAAGGCTGAAAAAAGCGTAGTGGATGCAGAAGTTGCCATTTTAATTGAACTGAAACGAAATCTGGCTGTCAAACAAGGAATTGATCCATCCACTTTGATTGGAGGTGGGAAGAAAAAGGGGAAAAAAAAGTAAAAATGTATCTAGCAACATCGAGCGGGAAGTAAAATAAAAAAAATCATTTTCCTTACACAACAGTTTGTCGTCATTTTTGAATGTGAATTTAAATGAAGCTGAAGTTGTTACCCATTCTTCATGTCTATTTATACAGGCTTATTAAAAAAGAAAGGGCAGATTTTGAAAATTTACTAAAAACAAATGCTAAGAGACCGAGACACATTTCAACACACTGAGACCGAGACACATTTCAACACACTGAGACCGAGACACATTTCAACACACTGAGACCGAGACACATTTCAACACATTATTGAATAGGAAAAGCTTCCAAGTTATTAAAATAAATGAACATTTTTTTTTTTTCAATCTTGTTTAAATGCTTTTTTTTTTTTTTTTTTTTTTCCAGATTTTGTACAAATTTAAATTATAATTTGAGTCAACCCTTAAAATGGCCAAACCACAAAAAAACGTAGTTTTGTATACTGCAATTTGCATGGTGTAACCTTAAAATAATAAACTTTGAACCTTTTTTTTTATTATTTAGTAATGTGTTGAAGGTGTTTCTGTCTCTTAGCATTTGTTTTTATTCAATTTTCAAAATCAGCTTTTTCTTTTTTTTAATAACCCTGTATATTATCGTGTGATTTGAATAAATGAAGATTTTTTACTTTTTTTTCTCTCTTTCAGCTTTTATAGACAAAGACCAGACTATTGTGGGTAACAACTGTCAATATATGGAGGGGGATTTAGTGGTTTTTTTTTTTTGCTTTTATTTTTTTTTAAATAGGTACCAATATTCAGAGAACTTAAAAGGATTACTTGCTTACTTATTTTAGTGTGTCATTTTACTTACATTTATTACCACATGACTCAAGCAATAGTCAATGTATTATTTAAACAGATAAGCTGTAGATAAGTGCCTTTTTTATAGCCATCTGTCATTTATTACAAACTAATTAGTTCTGCCTAACTTCTCTCCTAGAACTGAGTCTCTCTCTTGTGTGATATGCATATAACCCCTTCCATTGCTTCTGCTATCATCTCTAACTTAGATCTGAACAAAGCATGTGGACCCGATGGTATCCTTGTAATAGTCATTAAGTGTTCTCCCGAACTGGCTCCTGTTCTCTCTAAATTGTATAATAAATGTCTTGCTGTCTCCTACTTTTCTGCCTGCTGGAAGTCATCATCTGTTGTTCCAGTTTTTAAGAACTCTGGTGAGGTATCCAACCCTTTCAACTATTCTATCTCTTTTTGGGAAACTCCTAGAGGCCCTAATTAATGCTGAATTGGCTCATCATCTCTCATTGCACGGCCTTTTCTCAGACAAGCAATATGGCTTTTATTTCTCCAGGACAACTGATGATATTTGCAGAAAGTAAAAACAGTGAAGCACAGGCTGTTGCATTGGATATCTCGAAATCCTTTGACAGTGTCTGGCATTCAAGTCTTCTTCACCAACTGAAATGTTACAGTGTCTTCAGACATTTTTTTTAAACTGATCCAGCCTATTAAATCATGAAATGAGAGTTATCCTGAATGGCCACTCATCTAGATCCTTTCATGCTAACACAGGGGTCCCCCCCCTCCCAACCAGAGCGCCATTCTTGGTTCTACTTTATTTTTAATTTTCATTAATGACCTGCCTGATAACATCAGCTCTCAACTTGGTATCTATGCTGACGACGCAACAATTTACTCCTGCCTCGATAGTAAGGCTGATCAGTCTGACAAGGTCGAAATGGCAGTTGATGTCCAAAATGACCTCAAGTCTATCATTAACTGGGGCAAAAGATGACTTGTTAATTTTAGCGCTTCCAAAACTAAACTTCTCTCCATTAATCATTAGAGAGAACTGTGACGAAAGACATGATTTACGATGGAGTTCAAAACAAGGGCGAATGTGTCTTGCCTGCAAAGTAATGACGAAAAGAAACATGGCTGCTATTGATGATGCAATTTATGCACGTCTATCTCGCCCAAAATGAGATGACATTTGCACACATGCAAATTTTGGCCATATCAGACTGGCATAAAAAGTGGGGTGCCAGCAGCACGACTCAGGTCAAGAGTCATTCAGTGGACTGTGTGCAATAGAGCTGGACGTACAAATTGACAGATGGACAAAGAGGAAGTAGAAGTAGGTGCAGCTGAGTTGGTGTCTGTTTCATGACTGCCTGGTGTAATGGCCGAGAAAGGGAGTCACACAATCCATTTTCTTGAGGTGACAAATGACGAAGGAAGAATAGCTGGTCTGCCGGCGAACAGTGCACTTCACTTTCTGACCCCCCCCCTCTCCTCACTTTTTTCTTTCTTTTTTGTTTACTACAAGACTCCTCTCTGCCTTCCATCAGTATGGCCAATGCTATCCTCCAAGAAAGTGACTTGTTTCATCTTCTTGGGCTAACGTTCTGTTGACATGAAAGTGGAAAGACTATTCAATCCATTCAGCTTCTTAAAAAGTCTGTTCACTGTGTCGTGCAAGACAATTTTTCTCTCCAGAATCTATCCTACATATCTATAAGTCTACCATTTGTCTATTCTTAGGATATTGCTGCCACATATGGTTTGGTGCCCCTGCTATATATTTAGAGATTCTTGATAAAAATCCAATGAAGAATCAGCAATATTATTGGTCCTGATCTGGCAGCTCAGCTTCAATCACTTGCCCACCACTGTAAGGTTGTTTCTCTGTGCCTTTTCTTTTTTTTGTTTTTTTAAAAATAAATTCTTTCATGGTAATTGTCCGGATGAGCTCTTCACTATGGTACCTAGACTTCTTGAATTTTAAATTCAGTAGTAGTAGTAGTAGTAGACTGGTGTCAAGATCTCATCAATTTACAGTTGAGCTGGTGAGATGTAGCTGTAAATTCTATGCTAACAGTTTCTTTTGTCGTCTTTACTTGTGGAACTTCCTTCTGATTCCATGCTTTCCAGCCAACTTTAATGTGCAAAAAATTAAATGCAATGTCAATTGCTATCTACTGTTTACACTTTTCTCTTTCTGCTCATAATTAATAATTCTTCCACACCCTGTAACACTTTGTGTTTTACTGCCTTGATTGGGATGATTGATTTAAAAAAAAAAAATTTTACATTTGTATTAATAGCAAAGTAATCATTCTAAGCAATGCTGTTAATTGAAATAAGTGCTTGCATAATTTATTGCTTTTTTTTTTCCCTTTAAAATAATGATATCTTCAATAACTTCTTTATACCCAGAAGTAAGGCCGAGAAAAACAAAAGATTAAGCTTTCAAATTTTTAATTCAAGAATGTCTGGGTAGCATAAGTTATCTCCCCTTGAAAAAAAAGTTTTTTTTTATTTGGCACCAATATTCAGACAACTTAAAACAATTACTTGTTTACTTATTTTAGTGCATCATTTTATAAAAATTATTTCCACATGATAGAAACAATAGTTAGTGCATTATTTAAACAAATTAGCTGTGAATAATTGTATCATTAAAGAAGGTTACAAACAGACAAAGGTGGTACTCGAGTGAAGGAACAGCAACACAGGCATCAATGAAAGAAAGAGAGGTTTATTGTAAAAGAGAATACTACTGAAAGACGGAATTGGTTAGCAAGCTAATAATTCCTGAAGCAAATCCACCAGATATATCCTGTGCTTACTATATCTACTGATATTAGTCAGTTCACATATGCGATAGGGAGTGTAGGACATTCTATTACAACAATAATCAACACTTCCTTTTTATAGCAATCTGTCACTTATGTAGATGTAAAAACAAGTTGAAAAGAACATAAGTTGTGAAGTAATTGTTTTAAATAATGCAGTTACTGTATATACTTATGTAAAAAGCAGCTTGGCATGAATTTTAACCCCTCCACAAAAAAACTTACCTGTTCAGCCCTCCCTTAATTTTTGCGTTAAAAAAAAAAAACCGATCATTAAAATTCACATTCTACTAATGCATGTAATGGTAGTTGAAATAAGTGCTGTGTAATTTATTTTAAATGATTGGCAATTACAATCACAATCACTTGTGTACCTGCCTCAGTTGAGAAGAAGAGGAGGAGGAGAGAAGTTGAGAAGAAGGAAGAGAGAGAGAGAAGTTGAGGAGAAAAAGAAGAGGAGGAGTTAAGAAGGAGAGAGAAAGATCAAGAATTGGTAATGGAGTCAAACCATAGAGGCCAGATATTATTTTCCCACTTTCTCGTTTCTGTCACAGGAATTGGTGAGTATGAGCAGTTCTTTATTCTTGTTCATTTTTTTTTTTAAGTTCATATATCATGATGAAAAGTTTTCATCCCAACAACTTAACCAAAAATTGAAATCTCCTTTTCTTAGACTGAGAATTTTTCAGCACTTCCCTGTGCGTGTTTTTGACATACTTTCTTTCTCTCTCAAATTGAAGTCCTACATGCCAGACAAAAAAGAGCTCTCTTTCATTAAGAATGAGGAAAGTCTTTTTCACCATCTCTGCCATTCAACTCAGGTCCTGGTTCACTATCTCTACCACACTTACTTAACCAACTTTCTCAGCAGCTGACCTGTGTCGTGTGAGACAATTTTTCTCTCCAGAATCTATCTTACATATCGATAAGTGTACCATTCATCCATGCTTAGACTATTGCTGCTAAGTATGGTCCAGTGCCTCAGCTATTTACCTTGAGCTCCTTGATAAGATCCAAAGAAGAATCAGCAATATTACTGGTCTTGATCTGGCAGCTCAGCTTCAGTCTCTTTCCTACCACTTTAAGGTTGCCTCCCTGTGCCTTTTCTATAAATACTTAACAAGGTAATTGTTCGGATGAGCTCTTGGCTATTGTACCTAGACTTTTTGAATTTAAGCTCAGTACTAGACTAACATTGAAATCTCGTCAATTTACAGTTAAGATAGCTGGATGTCACCGTAAGTTCTATGCTGTTTCTTTTCTCGTACTTCCCACTTGTAGAACTCCCTTCCGGCTCCATGCACTCCAGCCAATTTTAATGTGCAAAAATTTAAATACATCAATCGCTATCTACTGTACTGCTTATTACTGATG